GTGGCGTGTGTGTGTGGAGTGGTGAGTGAGTGTGGTGTGGAGTGGCGTGTGTGTGTGCAGTGGTGAGTGAATGTGGTGTGGCATGTGTGAGCGTGTGGTGTATGTGGTGTGTGCGGTGTGGCACACGTATCTGGTGTGTGTGAGTGATGTGTGGTGTGTGAATGTCTAGTGCGTGTGAGTGTGGTGGGTGTCCGGGGTGTGTGTGTGTGGGAGTGTGGTGTGTGTGGGAGTGTGTGGTGGGAAAGGGGGCAGGGCAGGGGACTGGAAGTGAAAGAAGGGTTCTCCAGACTCTGTAGTCGCTGCTGTCCGGCTTTATTCTCTTTTCCAGCTGCAAGTTTCCAGCCTTCTCTCCAGCGTCTTCCAGTTACTCATGACACACCAGGTAAGGCCCTGGTGCCGCTGAGCTCCTGCGCCGGTCGGGTTGGGGGTCTCCAGGAAGCCGGGGGTGGCCCCAAGGCTGGAGGAGGACCTTCTCTCATTGAAGAGATCGCAGGGTTAAAGCCTCTCCAGTTACACAGCCATTTGCAGAAAGTGCTGGTTTTGTTTCCACTATGGAGCACAACTGGAAACGTGGGAACTCCACCCACTGGGCTTCTCAATGACTTGTAAGGGTGGTAAATGATTAGCAGCAACTCCAGAAGACAAGCAGACTCTCACCCCCTTCCATCTTCCTCCCTTCCCACATTGTGACTGGGGAGGGGGCGTGGGGCGTCAGCGAGAAGGGGGACTGTAATTGAACTGGCTTTGGGTGGAAAAGCATGTTGTAACCACCGTCATCCACACCAGCCCCATCAGCCGCTAACTTCTCCAGAGCGGCCCGAGTGTCTGAGGAGAGGTCCATCTAGCTGCCTCAAGTCCATGAACTTCTGTGGAGCTGTGGAGGATTAGGGAAAGAGGCTGAGACGTAAACGTCTAAGCGGACCAGTTCTGTGGTTTCCGGACTAGTGGAAAAGAAAGTAGCAACAAACGCAAGTGAGACAGACGGGTCCGTCAGGCGGTGCGACCATAGTGCTTGAATTCACAGGCATCTGAACGGTCTCGTCGTGCTCCTGGGGGTGAGCGGGACAGACGACTGAATGACGGGATGGAAGCAGGTTCCTCACCGGCCGGAGGATCACACCTGAAGCTATCGAGCCGCCCTCCTTCCGCTCTTGAGTGTGACTAGCACGCTTACAGATAGAGCTGGGCTTTTTTAAAATAAAAACTAAAATTTTTATAAGCTGAAATTATAGGCCGTGTCTACAAAACAGAAATTAATAGGGAGAAGTAAAAATCCTTTCCATGTCCCAAAAAAGTACGTGAAAGTGTTGTTGGCACCGAATCCTGGCGACTCCATGCACAGGGCGTGTACGGCGGGGAGACGTGGAACAGTAGCAGTGCAGGAAGATCACCCTCTAGGTTGTAACTGAATATGAGCAGGAGGCAGTGGAGTGACTATGGCTGCCGCGGTAATCACAGCAATGGCTGATTTAATACATTTTTTATGCCCACCAGGGAGATGAAGATGAGACTCACTCTGGTTTGTGTTGGTCAGTCAGATTTAGACCATTATATTCACTTTGGGCATCATATTACACTCGGCAAAGAGTGTTGGATGAGACCTCGAAAGACATAGGGATCAAATTTTGCTAGGTGATTTCCCCGCTGTAGGATTAAGTGATTCATCAGGTGGACTCTTTCTTCCAGGAAGGAGACTTCTGAGAGAAACCTGTCAGGTGCGTGTGATGTTCCTTTAGTTCATACCGTGTTTATTCTTGCCTGGTACTTTTGTGGAGCCTTGGTGGCAAAGTTGTTAAAGAGCTCAGCTGCTAACCACAAGATCAGCAGTTCGAATCTACCACCCACTCCTTGGAAACCCTGTGGGGCAGTTCTGCTCTGCCCTATAGGGTTGCTATGAGTTGGAATCGACTTGATGGCAATGGGCTTGTGTTTTTTTTTTAGTACTTTTGTAGACTGGTAAAGCTCTCCTTTACATTTTAAAAAGGCAGAAGGAGGTTCGCTCTAACTGGTCCAAAATAGTGGACAGACTTCTGTGTCATCTGTAGCAAAATGAAGCTGATTTATTCTTGTTCTCTTCCCTTCCCCAACCAGTTATTATGTGATTCTGGGCATCTTCCACTATAACTGGTTGGTGCTTAAGAAATTCTATTTTAGTGCCAGCCTGTATAGAATTATATAGAGTAGTAATTTACTTTGAAACAATTATGTAGGGATTGGGGTATGATACTCATCCCATTTTTCCAATTAGGGGAATCGGGTCTATTTTCCTTCCAACCTTCCATTATACAGAACTGGATTTCTACTCTTTTGATGCTTTTATTTCAGACATGTTACAGAAGGAGAATTAAGTGAGATAAAAATTAAGAAAACAGTTTATAAACTGTAACATGTACACAGGTGTAAGGGGTTGTTATTATTTCAGGTGGCAGCTGTACGCAGCTTTGGCCTGTCATAGACTTATGCTCTCCAGCTTCCTCTGTGGTTACATCACTAGCTCAGCAGTCATACTGTCTGTCCTGTTTTTGTCCTGTTCATTATCTAGTACATTCCTGGTCATAAATTTCTCTTCAATCATCCAGTTACATTTCTATCTATTCTTGCTTCATTTCTTTGCATCAAACTTGTTGAAAAGACCAGCACCATTTGCAGAATGTGGATATGTGTTGAGTAATCCACATACACTGCTGCTATCAGAGGGGAAGCTCTGCCGTGTTTGCGAAGCAAAGCCCATTCAGTGTGGTCTCTTAGAAAGGCCATGGGAGGTGTGAAGAATAACCCTCAGATGACTTACAGTTTCTAGTGTATCTGTGAACTATTCATTTTATTATTTTATGTCATTCATATATATATATATAAAATGGACGTGGTATGTACACACACATACTCACATACCCCTAGAAAAGCATATGCTGTATGTATTGTGATTTTTCCTTAGTGTTCGTAGCACATGGGTAGTGGGTGAGCAGACGAGTGGGTGGGGAAGGATGGGGTGGGGAAAAGAGTGTTCGGGAGACGGTAAACACCACGCGGGCAGGTACAAGAGGTGAGCGCGGACAGTGACGCGATGCCCCGGACGCTGCTGTCTGTACCCCGGAAGGACCACTGCTCTTCTCTGTTTCAGGTGAAGCTTGAGAGTAACTTTGCCTCAATTGTGTTTGCGACCATGGTGCTGGAGGGGCTTGGCCGCTCTCTGGACCCCAAGCTGGATATACTGGAGGCAGCGAGGCCCTTTCTCATCGGGGGACCAGGGTCCTTCCCCTGACTGTAGTGGTGGTTTGGGGCCATCACCTGGGAGCCATTCCTGTGGCAAATGGACACTTGAATTTGGATGCTTGGAGGGTGCTGGGCATTTGTTACAATAGCTTCAGGTTATTTGGAAAGTGGAGGGTGGGAAGAGTCCTCTACACTCATCATGGGGCTGGGCTTGGTGTTCAGGGCACCTCCAGTCCAGGTGAAATGTCCTGTGGACTAGGAGGAAGAATAAAAGTATTTTGTTTCCTTGTTTTTCTCTCTTCTCTTCTTAACATTATATACTCCCTGATCAGGTGGGTCCTGCTGGTGGTTCCCAGATCTGGTATTTAGGTTGGAAAACGCTACAGAATCCTCTAGCCCCATGATTTCCAATTTCTTTTGATTATGTCTTGGAAGAAGTACAGCCAGATGCTCCTTAGAAGCAAGGATGGCGAGACTTTGGACATGTTATCAAGAGGGACCAGCCCCTGGAGAAGGACATCATGCTTGGTAAAGTAGAGGGTCAGCAAAAGAGAGGAAGACCCTAAACGAGATGGACTGACACAGTGGCTGCAACAATGAGCTCAAACATAGCAACAAATGTGAGGATGGCGCAGGACCGGGCAGTGTTTCGTTCTGTTTTACATGGGGTCGCTATGAGTCGGAACCGACTTAACGGCACCAAACAACAATAACATATGCTTCACTGCTTCTGCTTCTCTAGATAACCCAGCCTAAGACAGTGGTCCTTCCCCAAACCTGCCTTCTCTCCTCCAAGAGGCTCACAATGGTATCCTTAAATTCTTCAGTTTTTATTGTTTATAAAGTCTATTGTTTTGTTGTTCTGCAAACCTGGACAGCAGTAGTTCCCAAATGTCAACACATGGACTGGTGGTAGCAGAATGACCTGGTGAACCCAACCCCAGGCTGAGGAATCTGCATTTTAGCACAGGCTCCAGGTTAGGGATGCTCCGAATTCCTAGCTTCTTGGCTTTTGTCTCTTTTAACCTTGGGACCCTTAATAATGCCTTCCATTCAGTCCTGGGTGGACAATAAGCTTCTTTAGACCCTACAAATTCTTAGGGCCTCCTTTTCTGGGTTATAGTTTTCCTAAGAATCTCTAGGTTTGAGCAGTTATAAACTTAGCCTGCCAATCTCACACCTTGGAGATTTCCTTTTAAAATGGATCTACCTGTTAAGTTCCACATGTTTCACACTGAAGACTCCACGTATGGGGATTCATATAGACCTGAACTTAGGGATCTGAGTGTACTGAATGTAATGGATACTCTTCCTTCTGTACCAAGTTATGGGACTCCATGTGCCCTTTTGTCTATAATGGGAAAACTCTCCCACATGAACCTATGATTGCTGAGCTCCAGGCCTTTCTGAACAGCCTATTGGTTGACATTCTGACTCTGTAGGACTCTTTTCCCCTATTCTCCTGCCCTCCTGACTTCTAAGTAGTATATAAATTGGAAGAAAGAATCTACTATTTCCTGGATGGAAGTTGACTTTCCAGTTGATAAGCAATAAAGAGAGTGGCTTTCTCTGGGCTGCTGTTCAACAATTACCCTTCCTAGAGGAATATACAAATGTACGAAGGTAAAAAGTCTGTGAATTGGGAGGACGGGCTTTCTGTCCATCCTGGGGAGCTCGCTGAGCTGCACAGCTGTCTTGCTTCCAGCAAAGAACAATGCTGTGATCCCAAGGCCACAGAAAAAGCACAGCTTAAAAAGTAAAAAGAGCAGAGAACTTGAGAATCTGATGATCTGGGGTTCAAACCCCAGCTCTGCCAATTATTTGTTGTAAGTTGCTGTCAAGTTGGCTCTGACTCATGCAAACCCATGTACTACAGAACAAACTATTACCCGGTCCTATACCATCTTCATAAACATTGGTATCCTCAAGTCCCTTGTTGCAGCCACTATGTATTTTGAGTGCCTTCCAACCTAGGGGGCTCATCTTCCAGCACTTTACAATATTCTGTGGGATCCACAGGGTTTTGTTTTGTTTTTTTAACAATTTTTATTCTATGCTAAGACGTGCCAGTTAACTCTATACAAAAAGAGAATATAAATACGTACATATATTGGGATACACCTTTTCCCCAATTGCTTTTGTCCCCTATGCAATTATGACTCTTAAAATTTTTTCTGTGTGTGGTTCGCCAATCCACAATTTTGTGTGTCCGTGGTTCACCAATCCACAAGTAGTTTCTACTCGTACAATTCAGTGACATCAATCACTCTCTTCATGTTGCACAATCCCTACCCCTATCTTTTTCTGAATTATTCCACCACCATTAACATAAACTTAGTGCCCCCCAAGAAAAAGTTCCCCTTTTGCTCTCCCCTCACCCCTGATAACCACTAATAAGCTTTGGTTTCTATATATTTTCCTATTTCATCTAAGCAAGGCCATTGTCTTTTCGTAACTAACTTCGCTCAGCATGATGTTTTCAAGGTTTATCCATGTTGTAGCATGTATCTTTATGGCTGAGTAATAGTCCATCGGTAATATACCACATTTTGTTTATCCATTCATCTGTTCATGAACATTTAGGTTATTTCCACTTTTTGGCTATTGTGAAAAGTGCTGCAGTGAACATTGGTGTACAGGTTTCTGTTTGTGCTCCTGCTTTCACTTCTGAATATATACGTAGGATTGGGATCGCTGGGTCATAAGGTAGTTCCATATTCAACCTCTCAAGGAACCGCCACACTGTTTTCCATTTTGCATTCCCACCAGCAATGGGTGGATAAGGGTTCCAGTTTCTCCACATCCTCTCCAACACCTCTTTTCCTGTTCTTTTAATTTTTATCATTGCCATCCTAATGGGGGTGAGGTGGTATCTCATTGCAGCTAGTAAATCAGAATCGACAGCACACGACAACAACAATGGCTAATGATGGTGAGCATTTTTTCATGTGCTTGTTGACCATGTGACTATCCTCTTTGGTGAAATGTCTGTACAAGTCCTTGGCTCATTTTTTTATTGTTTCTTTTTTTTGTCTTTTTGTTGTTGAGCTGCAGTAGTTTTTATATATTTTGGATATTAGACCCTTATCAGGTGAGCATTCACATGAAACACAAATATCTTCATTTCTTTGGCCCATTTAGAGAGGTCTATTCACATACCTCTTCCCCATACCTCCTTGTCAACCAATTTTCCAATCATGTTCCTTCCAAGTCCCTGACCATCCAGCCAAACCACTGGCCACAGCCCATGAATCAGTATACACCCACACATCTGGCCATTTCTCCTGCCAAGTAAAGTCAACAACCAGGGGCACTGCTTGAAGTTCTGCCCACTGGAAGGATTCCCCTTCACCACTGTCCTTCAGGGAGGTCCCAGAAAGGGGCTGCAGTGCTGCCACTGTTCCTTTCGAGTGGCGGCCGCATATCGTGCGGAACCATCTGTAAACCAGGCACGAGTTTTCTCTTCCTCAGTCAACTGATCATAAGGAACCCATGAAGCCATAGGTGTACACTGGGAGGGATCAGGTAATGTGACAGGAGTGGAGACCATGGGCATTTGGGCCATTTCCTCATGCAACTTACCTGTGCCTTCAGGTCCTGCTTGAGCCAGACCTCGTATATACCACTTCCATTTAATGATGGAGTGCTGCTGTGCACGTCCAACTTTATGGCTCTGTGGGTGAGACAACACCCAGTTCATGAGGGGCAGCTTAGGCCACATGGTGACTTGGTGGCCCATGGTTAGGTGTTCAGTCTCTCGTATGGCCCAGTAACAAGCCAAAAGCTGTTTCTCAAAAAGGAGAGTAACTATCTGCAGAGGATGGCAGGGCTTTGCTCCAAAATCCTAAGGCTCTGTTCTGTGACTCACCAACAGGGGCCTGCCAAAAACTTGAAACAGCATCTCTCTCTGCCGCTGACACTTCAAGCACCATTGGATCATCCAGATGATATAGCCCAAGTGGAAGAGTGGCTTGTATGGCAGCCTGAACCTGTTGTAGAGCCTTCTTTTGTTCTGAGTCCCACTCAAAACTAGCAGCTTTTTGAGTCACTTGATAAAGAGGCTGGAATACCATACCCAAATGAAGGCTATGTTGTCTCCAAAATCCAAAGAGGCCCACCAGGCATTGTGTCTCCTTTTTAGTTGTTGGTGGGCCCAGATGCAATAACTTATCCTTCACTTTAGAAGGAATATCTCGATGTGTCCCACACCACTGGACCCCTAGAAATTTCACTGAGGTGAAAGACGCCTGAATTTTTACTGGGTTAATTTCCCACCCTCTAGCACGCAAATGTCTCACCAATAAATCTAGGGTCATTGATACTTCTTCCTTAATAGGTCCAACTACCATAATGTCATCAACGTAATGGACCAGCGTGACATCTGGTGGAAGGGAAAGGTGATCAAGGTCCCTGCAGACTAAATTATGATATAGGGCTGGAGAGTTAATAGACCCCTGATGCAGGACAGTGAAGGTGTATTGTTGGCCTTGCCAGCTGAAGGCAAACTGCTTCTGGTGGTCCTTTGAGACTGGAATTGAGAAAAAGGCATTGGCCAGATCAATAGCTGTATACCAGGTACTAGGAGATGTATTAATTTGCTCAAGCAATGAAACCACATCCGGAACAACAGCTGCAACTGGAGTCACTGCCTGGTTAAGTTTATGATAATCCATTGTCATTCTTCGAGATCCATTTGTTTTCTGCATAGGCCAAATAGGTGAGCTGAATGAGGACGTGGTGGGAATCACCATCCCTGCATCCTTCAAGTCCTTGATGGTGGCAGTAATCTCTGCAAACCCTCCAGGAATGCAGTATTGCTTTTGGTTTACTATTTTCCTAGGTAGGGGCAGTTTTAATGGCTTCCACTTGGCCTTTCTACCATAACAGTCCTTACTCCATATGTCAGGAATCCAATGTGGGGGTTCTGCCAGTTGCTGAATATGTCTATTCCACTTATGCATTCTAGAATTGGGGAAATCACTACAGGATGGGTTCGGGGACTCACTGGACCCACGGTGAGATGGAGCTGAGCTAAGACTCCATTAATAACCTGACCTCCATATGTCCACACTCTGATTGGTGGGCCACATGACATTTTGGGGCTCCTGGAATTACTCTCAGTTCAGAGCCAGTGTCTGATTATTTCCTTTTCCCCAGTGAACAGTCACTCTCGTAAAAGGCTATAGATCTCTTTGGAGAAGGCTGGGAGAAAGATTAACAGTATAAATTTTTGGCAGTGCAGCGGGGTCCTTCCTCAAGGGGGCCTGGCCTCCCTTTCATTCAAAGGGTTATGAGTCGGTAAACTGGATCAAGTGTGGAAACTGACTGAGGGTCCGTGAGTCTCTGTTCTGATGATTCAAGTTAGACTTCCGTTCATTTGACCTAGAATTCTTCTTGTACAGATCAAGTAAATATTTAGTAGATTTCTCATCTATTTCACTCCTAGGGACACCATGACTAAGTAGCTAATGCCACAAATCCATACAAGTCAGACTATTCTGATTACTGCTTTGATTCTGCTGTCCATTACGGTAACCACACCCACCTGTCTTTGTTGATTGAGTGCCACCACTCAGCCCCTACCACCCTGGGGTCCAGTCAGCCCCATTGAAGTTAGGTGTCTTTATTCAGTTAGGGCAGTTGCCACTGTCAAATCTGACTTACATAAAATAGCAATCACAGCAGTCTTCAAGGATGCTGGGGCTCCCTTTACAAATTTGATCCTCATTGTTATGGTAAAAGGTGTGTCCTCTGGGCACTCCATGCGTGGGTCTGTGAGTCTAACCTGATAAATCCACACGAACATGCCAATTTCCCTAAGCCTTTGGATACCTTCTTCTATAGTATACCAAGGTAGGTCTGGTACTTCAATTTGATTTAGTGTAGGCCACTGCGTAATCCATGCTTCCGCAACGCAATCAAATAAACTACTAGAGCCTTCCCTAACCTCTTGAGCTGAAATACTGAATGAAGAATCTGTGCTTCATGGGACAATACCAATAAACTCAGACTGGTCCATCTTTATGTTCCTTGCACCATTATCCCACACCCTTAATAGCCATTCCCACACATATTCCCCAGGTTTCTGTTTGTACATATTAGAAAAGTCAAGCAGTTATTTTCAAGTGTGGAGTACCTCCTCCTGGGTCACACTTTGCACTTCACCTTTTGGAGCTTGCTGGGACTTAAGTCTAGTTATAGGTCTAGAAACCAAAATATATGGTGGGGGTAGGTCCTGGGAAGATTCAGTGATGTCTTCTGAGGCATCTACCTCAGGTGATGCCTCAGGTGCTGCTCCAGGTGCTACCTCAGGCAATATCTCAGACAAAGACTCTTCAGGCACAGCTGAGTTAATCTCATCAGATGGGGGTGGAAGGGATGGTTTCACTGGGGAGCTTAGGAGACAAAGATGGAGTGATCTGTTTAGATGGGAGTAAGAGGGGCTGGTTCTATTGGCTGAAGTGATTCCATGGAATTTAGGGGCTCAGTGTCCTCAGCTTCCTGATTATTATCTACCCATATGTACCCATCACAAATTTCAGGATCCATTTCTTCCCAATCAATGCCCTCATTTTAACTGCAGACGCTATTCGAGGTTGGGAATTCAATTAGTGTTGTAATTCTGCCACTCTTATGATAAGACTCTAGGTTTGGTTTTCGGCAATATCAGCGCTGTTACTACAAGAAATAAGGCTTTCTTTCAGGGCACAAGTGTCAACTTTGAGGTCTTTTATGCAGTGCTTGAGCTGTGACTCTTAAGCACTGAAACAATCTCTTTCACTACTTTGTCTAGCGAAAGTAGGAACAACTAATCAGCTCCCTATATTTCTGATTCTGACAAAACTGTAGGAAAGTATCAAACATGTGGTCACCCAGAGCCTCACTTCTCACCAATACCTGATCTATTGGTGGTGATATTTTGTGTACTAATATTGCCACCTCATGCCATGGATTAGAAGTGCCCTCTTTACTACTGGAGGCAGTGTCATCAGCACCTTTAAGACTAGTGAGACTTGAAAACCAATTTAGAAAACTTATCCTTACAATTTTGTTTCTCTGGAACCACTCCCAGTACCAAATGTCTTAGGCTGGGTTCTCTAGAGAAAGAAAACCAGTGAAGTGTATATATATATATATATCTACGTCTATCTATCTATATACATAAATACACATATATATATCTATATACAGATATATATATACATATACACACACACACACATACGTATACAGAAAAAGAGAGAGACTGCACTTTGAACTTGATCAAATATGCAATCAATACACATCAGTAATTACTGGTGATTGGAACGTGAAAGCTAGAAACAAAGAAGGATTAGTAGTTGGAAAATATGGGCTTGGTGATAGAAATGATGCTAGAGATCGCATGATAGAATTTTGCAAGACTAAGGACTTATTGTAAATACCTTTCTCAACAACATAAGCAGTGACAATACACATGGACCTCACTGGATGGAATACACAGGAATCAAATCGGCTACATCTGTGGAAAGAAATGATGGAGAAGCTCAATATCATCAGACAGAACAAGGCTAGGGGCAGACAGTGGAACAGACTATCAATTGCTCATATGCAAGTTCAAGTTGAAGCTGAAGAAAATTAAAACAAGTCCATGAGAGCCAAAGTACGACCTTGAGTATATCCCACCTGAATTCAGAGACCATCTCAAGAACAGATTTGATGTGCTGAACACTATGACTGAAGACCAGATGAGTTGTGGGAAGACATCAAGGACATCATACACGAAGAAAGCAAAAGGTCATTAAAAAGATAGGAAAGAAGAAAATGGATGTCGGAAGAGACTCTGAAACTTGTTCTTGAATGTAGAGTAGCTAAAGTGAAAGGAAGAAATTATGAAGTAAAAGCACTGAACAGAACATTTCAAACGAGAAGACAAAGTAAAGTATTATAATGAAATGTGCAAAGACCTGGAGTTAGAAAACCAAAAGGGAAGAACAACCTTGGCATTTCTCAAGCTGAAAGGACTGAAAAAAAATTCAAGCCTCGAGTTGCAATATTGAAGGATTCTAGGGACAAGATATTGAACAACGTGGGAAGCATCAAGGAAGATGGAAAGAATACCCGGAATCACTGTACCAAAAAGAACTCACTGATGTTCAACAATTTCAGGAAGTAGCATGTGATCAATAACTGATGGTACTGATGGAAGAAGTCCAAGCTACACTGAAAGCATTCGCGTAAAACAAGGCTTCAGCAATTGGCGGAAATACCAATTGAGATGTTTCAACGGATGCAATGCTGGAAGCGCTCACTTGTCTATCCCAAGAAATTTGGAAGACAGCTCCCTGGCCAACAGACTGGAAGGGGTCCATATCTGTGTCCATTCCAAAGAAAGTTAATCCAACAGAATGTGGAAATTATCAAACAATATCATTAATATCACATGCAAGTAAAATTTTGCTGAAGATAAGTCAAAAATAGTTTCACCAGTACATTGACAAGGAACTGCCAGAAATTCAGGCCGGATTCAGGAGAGGACATGAAATAAGGGATATCATTGCTGATGTCAGATGGATCTTGGCTGAAAGCAGAGAGAGATATATCTCAAGGAAATGGTTCACGAGGTTGTAGAGGCTGGCATGTCTCATGTACGCGGGTAAAGCGTCAGGCTGGAGACTTCTCCTGATTCATGTAGCTGCAGAGGCTGATGAATCCCAAGACCAGCAGGCAATACAGCAGGCCACTGGCTGAAGTCCCAAGAACCGGAAGTGAAATGATGATGAGCTGGATGCAGAATCCAGAGCAAATGAGGTTTGTCAGAACATCCATATATGCGTCTGTGTGTGTGTGTGTGTGTGTGTGTGTGTGTGTGTGTGTGTGTGTGTGTGTGTGTATTCTGGATGCAGGCCAGACCCCCAAAGAAACTCTCTTTTCAACTGATTGGCTGCTCATATCAGATCCCAAAATGGGGAATGACTACATCATTATATAATCGCCAAACTACAGCATAACTGCCAAACCACTGAGAATCATTGCTCAGCCAAACTGCACACGTTAACCAGCACAGGCACTGATTTAGAAAGGATCTGGCAGCGATATATAAGAAGGTCTGGAGGTCAGTCAATGCAGGAGGAGCAGGTTGAGCTAGCAGGAGAGGTGTGAAAAAAGTCTACGTCAGCAAAGACAGGGAGTTGCAACTTAAGAGTTGGAATGTGTGTTTTTTTGTAAACAAAAATATAACAAAGAAGAGGGGCTCCTAAGGGGAATCACTAAAGCCTACCCTGGCCGGGTCGAAAATAGCCTTTTGGGTGTCCTCAGCTTCGCTCAATCCGAAACACACAATCCGGGGGAGCGTGCAGCCCCTACCAGGCCACGCCCCGTCAGGCTCCCAGCCACCGCCTCGTCGGGCCGTGTCTTAGCAACGCCTGAGCCCGTCTATACCATTCGTATTTTCATGGGGGAATCTCCTCACCTCCAAGCCAGGAAACACCGGCGAAGAAGAAGAGGCGCTGGAGTTAGTTCGCTGGAGTTCGTTCCCATGCTAAGGAAAGGACTGAAATGCTGTGGCCTTTTGAACTTTGAGACGGTCACAGCTGCCTCTCCCGCCCGCAAACCCCTCGGAAGAGATGGGTGACGCCGGTACACTGGCGGGGCGGGGCTCCCGGCGGAAGTAACGTCAGGCTCGCGAGGCCTGGGAGCGGAGTGCGGACGCGGGCTGTCATGTCGGCTCTGACTCGGCTTGCGCCTTTCGTTCGGGGCGGAGGCCGGCTCTTCAGAAGCTGCCGCAAGCGGACGGCGGGAAGCGGGGGTGTTCGTCAGTGAGTGTGGGGGCGGGGGCCTCGCCTGTTTCTGAGGAGCAAGGCTCCGGACGCCTTCACCTCACCTTGACCCGGCGCGGGGCGGGTACGGGTCCCTGCGCGGCTCCGCCCCGTGGCATGCTGGGGGTTGTAGTCCGTCCTGGACGCGGGGGCCGGGAGTGGGCTCCGGGAGCGGGCGGCGGGGCGGGCTGGTTGGGCGCCGCAGTCGTTGTGCTGGAAGACTAACACCAGCATACACTTGCTCGTGTGTTTTTCTGGGTAAGCTGATGCTCTCCTACCAGGGCAAACTCCCGTCCCTCAGCCACAACCCCGGGGCCAGCCCGGCCATCCACGTACTCACACACATTCGGTGCAGCGCACGCGAATGTCGCCAAGCGGGACCGGCGTTAGCCTCTTGGCAGGTGCTGGCTGCTGCCCGAGTTTAAAGCGAGCGTAGGGGCACCGCCCCCGTCCTGGGGTGTGTGGTGGAGGGGACGAGAAATGTCAGGATTAGTTTCTGGGATGCCCCTGAGTTAGGAATGGCCTCTACACCGTGAAGACTGGGCACGGGAGCGAGCGCTGACCGTCCTTCTCTGGCTGGCAGTGCCGGCGGCGGCGTGCACATCGAGCCCACCTACCGGCAGTTCCCCCAGCTGACCAGGTCCCAGGTGCTCCAGGCCGAGTTCTTCAGCGCGACCATGTGGTTCTGGATCCTCTGGCGGTTCTGGCATGACTCGGACGCTGTGCTGGTGAGTGCAGGAGGCTCGTTCTTGTCCCTTTGGTGGGTGGTGGGTGGATGTGTTAACAGCTTGGCTTGTTGACTTTGTTTATAGAGCTTGCTTCTGGCTGCATAGACCCTTCTGCACGATTTCTCCGCGCAGCGCAGGGAGCTCTGGTCTCTGATGAGACATAGTAGCGTCTGAGCTTTCTACCCAAGGTCGCAGGTTTAGGCGGTCCTGGCCTGATGCGTTCTCTTTGGTTGATGTGTTTGAAAGGGAGACCAGACACAAATTCTCTCACCTTCCTTACCTGGGGGTTTATCTGTTGGTAAAGGTTACACGTTTTGGTCAGTTTTCACATTCAAATCCCTTTCGTGGTGAATGTTGTCTAGCCTGTCAGGTGGCCTGGGGCAGCCAGGATGGGTGGGGTTCGCGTGAGCTCCGTCTTGAGGAGGAAGGTTACTGACGGGTGACTTTGGGACGTGTCATGAGCCTCAGCGGGGCTTTCCTCTTACTCGCACAGCCCCAGTTCTCCGGGGAACCCCACCTTCAAGAGATTGAAATCTCTGCTTGTTGACCCACGTCACTTTGAATTTTAGTAAATTTGATTTTGTTTACGAGATAGGAACAAATCTGAAATGCTAGCGGTGTACGGGTTGCTCAGGAACTTCTCTGAGCTGGCAGACAGCTGACTGTGGCTGTGGGTCAGTTGTCAGAGTCTGTGGCTGTCTGCCGTCAGGTGATGACACAGCCAGGTGTGCCTGGAGGTTGGCCCGCACCTCACAGCAGGAACGAGCGGGGTGAATCATCCATGTTGGCCAGGGTTGTGGAGCAGTGCTGGGATGTGGGCTGTCATTGGAATCGGTTGCCTCTGTCACAAACACGCTGTGGGCTCAGGCGGCAGCTCCAAAATGGGAGGCAGTGAAAGCCCAGCACATGGCCTGTAATGGACAGACTGAAGGACAGTGGGCTCTGCGCTGGTGAAGCAGCAGAGCTTGTCCCGGTGGCACGCCAGGGGCTGTGTATGTGGCAGTTAGCCTTGTCACCTTTTCCCTTCCATGATTTCTTCTTACATTTAATTGGTTGGGTGGATTGCCGGTCCTTAACTGTTTTTCATTCGATCGTTCCCCAGGGTCACTTTCCATATCCGGATCCTTCGCAGTGGACCGATGAAGAGCTGGGCATCCCTCCCGACGATGAAGACTGAGGACCCGACTGGCTGCCTGACAGGTGGGTGTGTTTTCTGTCAGTGAACGCTTGTTCAGACTTGTGCCTGTCATGGTCGTATTCTAACGGCGTGAGGCACAGTTCACCACCTCACTGGCCTCATTTCTGCCTTTACTATTTTCACATTTGTTGTCCTCTCCCTGCCCCATTTTGATCTCATCTTCCTCCTTTTCATATTTTTTCCTAAGTTATGTTACAGTTTATTTATCCATTGGTCACATACTTCTGATGTATTTACTGTGCTGTGCCAGGCAGAGGGAATAGTGGTAAACCAGAGAGACTTGGCACTTAATACACTGAATGTCTGCAATGTTCCACCTCATTGTTTAAGTCTGTAGTGGCAAGAATCGGGAGGTCTAGCGTACGGGAATGTTCCTCTGTGGAACTGTATGAACGTTAACTCTGTAACAGTAAAAGGTTATGGCCCTTTCGTTTTTGATCAGGAAGTCAGAGTTTTTTGTCTTTCAAAAGAGAGGTACTAGGAGGATTCCCTTTTCCCCCAAAACTTCAGGGATTAAAGAATTCTCATTTAATGTGTTTTTAAATTAATAATAGCATTTTAACAACTGCCATGATTCAGAATGCCTTAGAAATTATTTTAAAGGACAGGAAGCATTAAATGATAGTTAAGTGTTCAGTTAAATACTACTACTAATATTGCTGTTAAATTTTAAATTAGAAGCAATTTATCGGCATTAGAATTACAGCTGTCTTCAGGTGCATGGCGGGGCGATGGGATAAAGCACCGCCTAAAGGCAGGCTGGGCTGCTCTCAGAGTCCCGGCCGTCCCAGGCCTCTGCCTGCTCACAGGTCTGACCATCGTGACTCTGCTGTTCCTGTCCCCCGTCGGCCTGCCTTCCGTCCCTCCCATCTTAGGATGTGGTAACCTTTTAGGGGTTTCTCAGTGTTCTCAAATACACTTGTTACCATCGTGTTTGAGAAACAGAGACTGTAAACGCTTGAGCGAGCGGGTGAATCTGCGTCTCGTCCGTCAGGCCTCTCGCCTAGCTGGGGCTCCGTGAGCGTGGCAGTGACTGAATAGACGGAAACTGTGGATTTGAAGAAGACAAAGTTTTCCACTTGTTTTCCCGCAGGAGCTGGTGAGAGCGTCAAGAGTAACAGATTTCATATTGTAAATTAAAGTCATAAATTAAAGTGGTTTGATTGAGAATGAGAGATTGCATTGCGGCTGTTTCTGTAGCGACTGTCCCGAGCTCGGCCTGCTGGGCTGACTGCTGGGCTGAGTGACGGCTACGCCCTCCCAGCTGCTCCCCACAGGTCCCAGGCCACAGATAGGTACCTGGGGGCCACACACCTGGTCAGTGGCTGAGCTTAGGTCTGACTCCAAAGCCCCCACTTAACACAAAACAGCTGATTTTTAGTATGTAGGTTGTCAGCTGGGAGTCCTGGTGGCACAGTGCTTAAGAGCTGTGGCTGCTAACCAAAAGGTGGGCAGTTGGAATCCACCAGCCGCTCCTTGGAAAACCCTATGGGGCAGTTCTCCTCTGGCCTGTAGGGTCACTATGAGTTGGAATCCACTCGACGGCAACGCGTTTGGTTTTTGGTTTTGGTTGTCAGCTGAGGGCAGGATGGATTCCCCAATAAGCAAGGTAGCACGGGCTGAATTGTGTCTATGTACTAATCTGCAGTGCGTGACTTCACCTGGTTTTCATTCCCGACAACCAGGTGGAATCGTGCACCACACATCAGTGAGCTGGCCGATTAAGGCTGTGCTACCCTGCTTTCTGTGAGCTGGTGCATGCCAGGCTTATTGGTTAGTGTCTGACCGTTCACCCACTGCCGGTGGGTTCCTGCCCTCCTACAGAGGGTGGAGGTCAGCTGTCTCTATAGCTGCTGTGGGCTTCGTCTTGAGTGGCCTGCCCTTCAGGGAGCTCCCAAGACACCCTGAACACCTAGGAATTCTGGGGCTAAGGAACGGGAGGCAAGAGTGAAACAGGATTTCACTTTCCCTAAAATTTGCTTCAAAGTACTTTCCAGCTTTGTATGGCAGCACAGCCATTCTGGAGGTAGACAGGACAGGGTTTTCCTCATGCACAGGGCAGACTGGCCCCAGAGCACAGCTGTTCCTTTTTTTACCTTATGCTCTGCCTGCCTTGGTGTTGGGGACAACGTGAAACCAGGAGATGAGACTGCTGTCTCAGGATTTCAGTCTTTGGAGGGGCAGCGAGGCAGCCAGCCGAGGCGGAGTGATGCTGAGGGCCCTGTGGGAAGCAGCAGGGGCAGTGTGCTCCAGGTGCGGAGCTGGGCGTGTTTCAGGGTCCGGGAGGGCATCTGAGCCGACCCCTGAACCAAGTCCCAGGAGGAAGCAGTTGTGTGAATGTCTGACCTCTCCAGGGACACGGGACAGACGATCGCAGGCAAGGGTCCCAGGTGGCTGTGGGGCCCCGGGGAAGGCACAGGTTGTCAGATGTCAGGGCCTCTGCCCGCCCTGAGCAGGTGATGGGAGGGCGCGCCCAGACCCTGGTTTCGCTCGCCCCTGTTCTCGTCAGTGCGGGCGTAGGGCAGAGGGGCGGGAGGAAGCAAGGGGACACCCCGCCCCACTGTTGTGAGGCACTGGCGACCACCCGCCCTCGACTGTCCTCACGTGCTGAGGTGAGCGCCCCACTGGTGACAACACAAGGTGTTCCTTCAGCGATGGTGGAGCTCACTCTTGTGCCCCCTCCCCCTACCGGGTAATCAAGTTTCTGGGAAAAGAACCGTCTGCAACAGTGAACTCAAGGAGGATGACCCCACTAGCTCTTTTCCTTAGAAATCCTCAGAATCGCTTGACTTGAATTAAAAGGTAACTTAAAAAGCAGCATTTGTCTACACTTGGCTGTCCACGCTTGGGCTGACTCCAATGCGAGCCAGCGCAGGAAAGCACCCCAGCCTCTCTCCAAGGAACGGGGCGCCGCCTGCTACAGCCTAAGGGGGCACTTCAGTGGGCGCAGGTCCACTTAACTGATGGCTCTAGGAGGCTGAAGGAAACAACACGAAAAGCTTAGACTTTCTACGGGCCAGGCACTGTTCTGAACACTTGACATGTGTTAACTTATTAAAACCTCACATTGTTTCCATTTTGCTGATGAGGAAATGGAGTGACAGACTGGTGAGGTAACCTGCCCACACTCACCGTTAGTGAGAGAGCTGAGGTGCAAATCCTGGCTACCTGGCTGAAGGCTGGGCCAGATGACTGGAGGCAGTTTTTTGATCATGACTCACTGAAATAATTTCACACCGTGACCTAGTATATAAATCTGCATGTATAATATACATACAGTAAAACTTGGGAAAGCTGGAACCTGGGTAAGGCAGAAGCCTGTCGGAGTAGGAAAACTCACCAGGTGTTTATGAGATAGAATTCTTAACAGAGTGACAGAAAAGTGGTAAGCACCCTGTCAAAGGCAGAAAACCTGCAAGACCCGGAAAAACAGCAGCGCCATCGAGTTCCGGCTCTTGGGTTTCACTGTATATAAACTAAGCAGGAGTTCTGTGAAACAGTCTTCACCTGTGAGCACTGGTAGGCACCACCCCTTAGTCTGTTCTCTGTTGTTAGCTGCCATCGGATGGGTTCCAGCGCATGGCGACCCCATGTGTGCAGAACAGAACTGCTCCACAGGGTTTTTACGGCTGTGACCCTTTGGAAGCAGATCCCAGGCCTGTCTCCTCTGGTTGGGTTTGAACTGCCAACCTTTCAGCTAGGAGTCAAGCGCTTAACGCTTCGCACCACCCAGGGACTCCATAAAACCCAAACTTGCTGCCATCGGGTCACAGCATCCCACGTGACAGAGTAAAGCTTCCCCGTGGGTCTTCTAAGCTGTCATATTCACGGAAGCTGATCGCCAGGTCTTTCTCCCATGGAGCATCTGGTCGGTTCAAGTCACTGACTTTTCCGTTAGCAGCAGACACTTAACCACTGCACTACCAGGGCTCCTCAGCGTCCTTAAAAGATGGTGGCCAGGTGAGACCTAAATTGCAGTGTGAAGAACCAGTGTCGTGCTGGAAGAACTCGGGCTCTGGAGTCAGACTTGCTGCGAGTTTGGACAAACACTCGATCACCTGTCCATCGATTCCATAGTTTAAATGAGCTAACACGTACGTAAAGCTCTTAGAACAACATCTGGCGTGAAGTAAATACTCTCTAAATGGAAGCAACTGTTATTTCTAGAGCAACCATTAGACTAGTGGGTCTAAGCTAGGTTTACGGTCACCCTTGGTCCCAGTTTAACTTTTACATAAAAGCCTCCATAGAGAGACAGATTAGTTGTAAAGAGATTCCAACAGAAGCAGTGCTGCCCCTGCCCCGACCCCCCCAAACAAATACAAGGCAAAACACAAATGCCTTTAAGGATACCCATTCTGCCTTCCTGACGGGCAGGTAAAAATACATTCAAAGTAAGTTTTAGGGTGTGTGGCCTGGGAGATGGGGAAAAGTGGCTGCATACATGGAAGGTTAGGACAGAGAAGACTGTCAGAAGTTTTCACACACACATTTGTACCTTTGTACTTCCTTTGGCACCTTTAATGTAAACACAACTGGACTTCTAGTAAAACGGGCAAGAGACACTGCATAAACGTCCCTCGTGTGCATGTTACAGGACCACGTGGTAGTCATCCTGGCCCACTGGCCCCTACAACTCTAGGCAAGGGCCAGCCCTGTGGCTGCTGCCCCCTCCCCTCAGGAGCACTCACGGGGACGATGGTGCAGCGCCCAGGAAGCAGGGCTGCCCGTTGGTGTGCCCAGCCTGACCTGTCTCAGCAGCGGGGCCTCTGCTTTTGGCCCTGGGCTACGTGTGGCTTACGTGGCTGCGGTGGCAGCAGAGACAGGTGGGATAAGCGGAGAACAACACCCATTTCCAGCCACATGTGCACCCGCTTCTATCCAGATTTCGTTAACCATCATCACGAGCACAACACAATGACACAGATTTGAAAAGTGCTGATTTGGGAACAGAAGTCCCAACTCAGTCCTGGCTAAACGGGCCTAGACCTGTCGTCCTCCACAGCTTCACTCAGCTGGTGTGAGGGGCTCAGACCAGGTTAGCTTTACACACTTTCTGTTCTATTATCTATAAATCTAGGAGAACTACACCTCACTCAGACATTGGGCCCGAGTGTCATCACAGCCCCTGCTGAGAGAAAATTCCCGAAGAGCCAGGGTGGTAGAGTTCTTTGTAACAGAATATGATCACAATAACCACGGTGTTCATAATTGTAGGCTAAGTTTTCAGGAAAACCTCTAATAGAATAATACGTTTTTAAAAAATACGGCCACAATTGCTCTGCCATAATCATGTACAAAGGTTATTTAGAAAATGCATTTCCTTAAGGTTCTGAGTACAGAATTAGGCTTTTCAGATGAGAACACTGCAGTGGAGAGAAAATACTTAAGTCTCGATAGCATTTTAGGGTCAGTGTGAGGACGAGAAGCCAGATTCCCCAAATGTGCCCTCCTGCAGACCTTCTGCCCTGCATGTTCTGTCAGATACAGGGTTTCTGGGGGAAGTTTTAGAATACTGTTTGCCTCTCCTCTGGAAACTGGGTTCAGTATTTTGATCTGTCATGTCTGAAGATAATCGAAGTGTTTTTCAAACTTCACGTCATGAAATCAAATGCACGGAGTCAGTTCCGTGAGGTGGCTACCGTGTAGGAGACGACATGGCAAACATGAATGCGCACGTTCACGTGCACGTTGTCTCTGTCACTACACTGCGGAAGATGGATGACTGTCAGTTGGGTTGAAAGATACAATTCTAAGGCGAACTTTCACAGACTCCTTTGTAAATACTCAGTTACAGCGCCCGTTTCCACGGAAACACGGAGCATCGCAGTCCTTTTAAACTACAGCCACATCAGGTCCCACATAAAGCGCATGCGGGTCATTGCCAACACCTGGCACAACACTGTCACCGCCTCAAGTCTCGTGTCACGGGTAACGCGCCAGGCGTTAATCTGGGCCCCTTCCTGCTAACGTATTTCTCACGTGACTTCTACCCAGCAGGCCGTAACCAGCGTCACGTAGGAAACGCACCTCCCTTTCACAGCCCCGCCGCCCTGAGGGCCAGCCCCGCTGCTCTATCCCTGGTGTGACGTGCTAGAAAAACGACCTGGCTGGAGGTGGCTCCATGCAGTCAATCTTTATTAGAGCAGAGTTCGCATATTCACATCAAGTACATAGAACTTTTTTGCCTTTTATATAATACAGAATTTTTAAATAACTTTACATAGAAATAAATTTCTTCAATCTGAATTTCAGCTATCTTTTTTTTTATTTAATTCTCCATGCTTTCTATCCAAACTGAACAATATTTTCCATTGTACAAATTTACATGAGAAAAACTCCAAAGTACAAATGAAGGGACCTGAGCAGGAAAGAGAACCAAAATATCAGGAAGGAGGGATGGGAAGAATTTTTAAAAAAAAAAAAAAGACTCAAGCAAGCACTGAAGATTGCGGGACAAGAGGGAGACGGCATCCATTTAACTGAAAATAAAGGTCTTTTTTTATGAATTGAAAAATAAGCTTTAAAAATAGTTACTCCATTGTAATTTTTGCAAAGCAGGTACAGTCTGTGCACAGGTAAAAAGTTCCCACCTGTTCCCTGGGCACACCCCCGACACACGAGCTCTTTTGGCTGTGAGCTGGCCTGAAGTGAATTACCGCCAGGAGTGTGACTCGCTGCCAGGACAGTAACTCACGGCAGTCAGCATGGGGGTCGCCCCCTCTGCTCTCCCCCGGAGGAGAAATGCATAAAAAGGGGGCGATCTCCTCTTTCTGGGTCCACAGCAGAGAGCCACCACAGCTCCTGAACGGAACTCGGGCCGTGTCAGTGAGCAGTGAACTCAAGCCCTGGTCGCTGTCCCCTCTCCTGGGGCAGCAGAAGCAGCGACTCCTGAGTGAGGAGGTCTCAGAGTGCTCCCCACTAACACATGGCACTCTGAGCTGTCCTTCACCTCAGGTGGGGCCACAAGTGCAGCCACATCGTCACACGGGGGGAGGGCACAGCACACGCGCGCGCACACCCATATGTAAACTAGACAACATGAAAATAAGACGTAAGTCGGCCACTGGATGTCGGTAACAACGTGAGTGACAAGGCATGATGTGTTCACACAGCTGGTCTCAGCTACGGAACATACACAAATGCATTAAGAAGGGATGATTTTTTAAAAAACTGTTCACAGCTTAGAATAAAAAGCACACTTATTGCACTCTTACATCTTATCTCAGGTAATTACAGTTTATTTCCCACCCTCACATCAGTACCCCCCCACCCCATTTTGGTCCATTTTCGCTACGTTTGTGCCTAGTCTGTGAGCTTTGTTGCTTCTGCTAGTCTGAAGTTTCCTCCTATGTAACTCTACCACCAACACACACGGGCTAAAAGAGGCTTAACACAGAAATGCAACAGGCATTTTCAAAACGAGACAGGGGCAAGGCAACCCACTGTTGACCCCACTCCACCCCTGGCAACGTCACCGTCCCTGCTGAATTTTCAGTGGGTTTTCCGCCTGACCTCCCACTCCAGGGCGGCCCCCCACGGCAGGGCAGGGTGCTGCAGGGCACAGCCAACGGTGGGGCACTGGGTGTGGGCCAAGCCTGCAGGACAAGCAGATGGTTTGCACAAATCTTTGTTTTTTTGTCTTCTTGATACTAGCATCAATGAACATTTCAGTTGTTTTCAAAGAGTACTTCAATCTACAGAATTCTTTAAAAAAACGGAAATGCTGTGTTCTCATGCACAACAATGGGTTTTATCACTGTAATTAGTCAGAATAGCTAAATAAAATCAAACATTTTAATGAAGCTGATTTAATCATCAATGAAACCAACAGCTGAGGTTGTGTATGTTGAAATAAAGGATCTACTTCAATGACTTTACTGAGGTGGGGACTGGCTGTCCCTATGTGGTTTTTTAAAGCATTGTTACCTTAATTTAAGATTTTCGGACTTTACTTTTTGTTCTCTTCCACCTTACAAATACTACCCTTTCCACAACTGACAAAATTTAGGACTCAATTTCAATTTAAATGTCTTCACCCAAAAAGAAGTGAAAACAGGTTCTCTGAAAACAAAGCCCAGCTTACTTTCTAGTGTGCTGACCTGAGGGAAACCTTGCCAGTCTTTCAGCTGACCCAGAGCTAGCAGTCTGGAGCTCCAGGACCATGGCCACCACTCACTCTACTGTCCTCTGGCCAAGAGGCAGATCACCGCCCCATAGGAAGGAGGCTACCACCCTTCTCGGGCCACGACCTAAGGGCACTGGGACACTGCGATGCCCCGGTCAGACCAGGATCACACATGGAGGGCATCCCACCTGGCCAGGTCACTGCAAACGTCACCGCCCTTTGCATGGATGCTTCCAGAGACCTGCCCGGCCTGTCTGCTGGGGCGGCGGCAGCAGCACAGTCCTGCTTAATCTGCACACAAGTCCTGAGGAGCAAGGCTGCATTTCAAACTCAGAAAAACCCGTGCCGAGGCTGGCAGTGGTGCCTGCCTGGAGACGGTGAAGCCACACTTGGCCGTCAGCTTCACCTCCCGTCCTCACCAAGTTCACGTCAGGATCGCTGCCCAGAGCACAGGACTCCAGCCTGACCTCGGGTCTTAACGTTCCTGCAAACTCTCCTGTGGTATAAAAGTTCCATGCTTTGAAGAACCTATGGGAGTAGAAAAATTCCTCTAGAAATGTCACTTAACTATCATTTCAACCTAGTTGCTCTATGTGATAAATATATCTGACTATACTAGGGATTATGTGCTTTAAAAAAATAAGTTTTGTTCACTGAAAACGGACCTGTGTGTCTTCTCATTTTTAAAACGCAGTTTTGGCTATAAACTCTTTACTGCATTTATCTTTGCGGGTTACGCTGCACTCTAAAAAATCCTAACAGCGGAGGGAAGCCAGAGCGCCTGCTCTTACAAATCACTGATTTCTGCTAGAAGTTTAGCTTTTTTTATTGCATCATGAAGGCACAGTGAGATCATTTGGCAAATTGTCAAGGTATTTCCTGGCGCCTCGCCTACACCATGTCGACGTGTGACGTGCTCACGCTCACAGGAGCCCTCCACCTTCGGCCGTAGCTTCTGTAGCCTTGTGGGTGGAACGTGCTAGTCTCAGGGGGCTGATCCTTGAGCACTTACAATGCCCACCCGGACCGAAGGGGATCGTGCAGATGGGTGACCACCTACCGTCCCAGCGGGGCAGCGTCTGTATGAAGACCTGTGCCTGTGGCAGAACTGTGGGCACCCTGTGATAACATCTGTCCTGGCCAGCCTAACCTGCTGCTGGCGAGTCGACTGACTCACAGTGACCTGACAGGACTGAGCAGGACTGCCCCACACAGTTCCCAAGGCCGTAATCTTTACAGAAGCTAGCTGCCACATCTTTCTCCCAAAGAGCAGCTGGTAGGTTCAAACCACCGACCTTTTTGGTTAGCAGCCAAGTGCTTATCCAGGGTGCCACCAGGGCTCCTTTGACAAGCCCACTGAGAGTGAGAAGTGTATCTCTGTTAGTGAAGCGACACCATGCAATGACTCCAGGTTCAGATTCTGGAAGGTTCCCCCAGACCGCTGTGGCACCGCCTGTACCAACACGCAGCTCCTCTGTGCTCCGTGTGTTCAGCATCACTGCTTGAACGTGTAAGGCCCTCCAAGACAAACGAGGGCTCCGGTCCCCCTACAGAGACAAGCTGGAGTCCTTAAATCGCCTTCGTGTTCCAGCGCTCCTGACTGCTGAATTTAAAATCAGTAACTATTTCTTTCCTCATTCTGAGGAGGTAGTTTTTGGAGAGGTCTCCTGAACCCTGTGAGTGTCTCAAGCTAAGCTAGACGAGGTCTGGAGGGTGGCTGGCGTGCTGTGTGCGGGGTGAGGGCGGTCTGGTGGGCCTGGTCAGTAGGGGACCGTGCAGGGTGCGGGGAGGGCTTCAAGCGGACAGCGCTGAAGGCGGGAGTTCTTTCTTGAACAATATATACTCTCTCTGCAACACCCACATGGACACAAAACATCATTCCTTTGGGATTATACCTCCAAGGGTGCCCCTGCCCATCCTTCCAGATCTCAAATACAACCAGAGGTGGGATGGCTGGGAACCAGATTTGACAGAATCTTCTTCTAAGGTACACACACGTAAATCCACAGGATCACAGTGGGCTTTCCATTCACAAACCCTTTTTAAAACCTCCTTTTTGGCCAAATTACTCCAACAGCAAATGTCCAGGACCAAGACTCTGGTTTAACCTGTAACACCACCTATTTTAACACAGTCCTTTGTAGCTGCCCTCCAGGTTTTCAGAAGGCTCACCTCTCCTGGCCAGAAACAAAGCCCCCCAGCAGGGGTGCTGTGGCCTCAGGGCCAGCCAGCAAAGCAACCCATGCGTCTACACAGACCCTTGTAAAGTATGTGGCCTGGATAAGGAGCTCTTCTTTGTATTTCCCCAGGAGGTCAAAAGTCTACGGTTTGAATCCACCAGCCGCTCCTTGGAAACCCTATGGGGCAGTTCTGCTGTGTCCTATAGGGTCGCTATGAGTCAGAATTGACTCAATGGCATGCCACAACAGTCTAGGCATCAAGAAACAAAGCAACCCAAACACAACTCCTCCTTTTCATGTCATTCGTAAACTAGGGGAAAAAAGTATTTGATGAAGAAAAGGAAGGTTTTAAAGTTTTACTAGTTTTTAAGGGCTCTATAAAACCTCTCAAGAATACCCTGAGCCTGGCTTCTGGGCACAGCTTTGCTTTCTCAAGTCTACTCCCCTTTTTCAGACGAGCTAGCAAGCTATTCTAAAAGGGAAGGGAAGGAAGGGAGTGTGTCGCCCTGAATTTCGTTTTGAAAATCCAGATTCTCAGCTTCCTCCCTAAGCGGTGCCTCTCTTGGCCCCACGCCTCTGGCAGGTCACGTGCTCGGCTGAACCCTGAGAACACCCCTTTGGTCAGGCCTAGGCTTCTTCACTTAGTTGAGGGAACACAACCATGTCAAAAGTATTTCAAAGCAAAGCAGTGTGGCCTTCAGGAGAGGGAGCAGTCCACTCCCGGCTGCCTTCTCAGTCCGGCCACTGCCGTCTCCGCGACCCTGAATTCTCCTGAACGCGGCAGAAAACAAGCCTTTCAAACTAAGAACTTCAGAATATTTTCCATTTTATTGGGACAAACTTTACAAGCCTGTGAGATTTTCAGCAGGCCTTCCTCTGAATTCATGGTTTTAGTAAACTTCCATCTAATGGTGGTGAGCTTCAGCAGGCTGAAATGTAGAGAGGGCCAGGAGTTACAATTTGAAGTTTTAAAATAATGAACTAATTCCCTTATTTTAGGTCCTGTCTAATTTCTCTCAGGTCTTTGGCTATAACCAAGCAGGCTAAGTACACCTGATTTGATTTAGGCCCCTAAATCCTGATAAGTGATTCCAGACTCCAGAGAAGGGATATGAAGTTTGCCACCAGTATGTCCAGAGTCACTTCATTTACTCCTACTGTGATTTATACTACCCTTCAGTACAGGCCAAGGGAACCAGGACCAGAGGTGGTTTCCCACCTGTGCAAAGGTAAGGAAGAATGCGGTTCTTAACACCACAGCGGCTCTTTCTATAACAATAGCTGATGTTGGGCTTCACACAGTCTCCCTCAGTCCCAATATCCCTAAAATGTCTCCATTTTCTGCCCGAGGAACTCAGCTGCCAAATTATTCACCTTTTGAAGACCAGGCTTGGGAAAAAAGGAAGGAGAGTTACTGGAGACACTACCATTTTTATTTTAGGGTGCACATTCTAGACAGAGGGCTGGAAAAAGGACGCAGGATGGAGGAGCGTCAGGTGGAAGAAACGATGAGATATTAGCAAAGATGTTAGTGTGGATCCAGCAAGTACCATTGATTTAAAAATTATAAATATTTGTCATTATGCCAACTTCCCATATTTGGGTAGAGAAAAGGATAATGATCTTTCTTTAAAAGTTGCTTATGTAACAAAAATACAATCTTCAGGATATATAATTCTGGTGGGAAGTTATTATTTTATTCCAATTCAATTAAATCTGAAAATTATTTTCTTTTCAATAAAAATATAAATAGAAGAAACTCAGAAATTAAAACCTGTACCTTACATTTAAATTACATAAATTTCTCACATTCAAAACTGTCATGGAGCAGTTTTGAAGGCTTTTGATGAGACACAGCCATGGCATTTTGTGCCCTGGGCAAAGGAGCCACATGAGTACTTGGTGACTGACTGGAAGAGCTGAGGAGGAAGATATAAACTGTGTTTTCCTGAGAACTTGCTACATGATGGAGGGGGATATCCCCAAATGCTTGTCCTCATTGCTGGACCCAGTGAGAAGAGGCGGTGTGTGTGCCAGACTCCCCAGCCTGCATGGCGAGCAGACACCCTTGTGAGCAAGGAAACAAAGGCCAGAAACCCACAGGTAAGGAAAAAGATGCAGCATTCCCCTTTCCTCCAGACCCCAAAGTACCTCCTCTTCTCTCTCACCCTCCATTCCAGTGAAATAACTTCCCGTTGATAAACCGTGTCAAAGCTTGAAAGGACCCTCAGGGAAAGGACCCTCAGAGAAAGGCCTCCTCAGAGAAAGGGCCTCTGGGGGAAAGGACCCTCACTGAAAGGGCCCCTCGGGGAAAAGGCCCTCAGAGAAAGGCCTCCTCAGAGAAAGGGCCTCTGCGGGGAAAGGACCCTCAGGGAAAGGACCCTCAGAGAAAGGCCTCCTCAGAGAAAGGGCCTCTGGGGGGAAAGGACCCTCACTGAAAGGGCCCCTCGGGGAAAAGGCCCTCAGAGAAAGGCCTCCTCAGAGAAAGGGCCTCTGGAGGGAAAGGACCCTCACTGAAAGGGCCCCTCGGGGAAAAGGCCCTCAGAGAAAGGCCTCCTCAGAGAAAGGGCCTCTGGGGGGAAAAGACCCTCACTGAAAGGGCCCCTCGGGGAAAAGGCCTTCAGAGAAAGGGCCTCTGGGGGGAAAGGACCCCTCAGGGAAAAGGCCCTCGGAGAAAGGCGTCTTCAGAGAAAGGGCCTCTGGGGGGAAAGGACCCTCACTGAAAGGGCATGCTGCATTTTGTTCCATCCCTCAGAAATTCACCAGTGGGGGTGGGGAGAGAGCGCCACCACAAACTCCCAGAACCGGAAAGAGAACAATGCTTGGTGATTGACGCTGCCCCGTCAGACGATCAGCCACACGCTGATCTGGTGGTTAGAAGGGCAAGGTGGACTGGCAGACCTTCCAGAGCAAATCTCCCAAGCTGTAGCAGCAGTTCCTTTCCATCATGCCTGACCATCAAAAGGTCAGAAGTCAGGGTCTCTCCTCTTTCTTCCTGGGTGTGGGCAGACTCGTGTGCACGTGGTATTTGTGTTGAAGAAGAAACACTGGCAGCAGAGAATTCTGGCTCCTAAAGCATTCTTCCCTCTTTTGTTGGATGGGAAATTCCATTCTGTTCCACACTAGCTTATGCATTGAAAATTTTTTATCTTTAAAAAAAGATTTGAGGAACAGAACTGTTTTGATGTTAACAAACTGTACGAACACAAGACTTAAGAAATAAGAGTAGATGCTGCCATGATGGTGTGGCTACTTGAAGGCTGCAAATTCTCCTGTGGAGGGAGGACAAGAGCTAATTTTAAAAACGGGATCTCAAATAGCCGCGAGACAAAGCAAAGCCTCCTTGAAACATCACTGAAAGGTGAGGAGTTCAACATTACAAATCTAGCAACGTTATTACTAATTTAAAAGCAAAAATGGCTGAAACCTCTGAAAGAACGCAACTTCCATACTGTGTAGAATATGGACCAGTCAAATGTAAGGCAGCCATGTCAATTAAACAAGTCCCAAGAAGTTTCCCCAGCTGGCTTTTACATACTATGGTTCAGTCAGGCTAAAAACAGTTCCAACACCCACAACTTCTCAGACACTGATTATAAAATAGTAGGCCGATCCACAGAATACCCTTTTCTTGGCGTTTTCAACCCATTTTCACATATCGCATTATATTATCATAATGCCACTATCAGGAAGGAAGGAAAGAGGAATTATCCTTATTTTACAAAAGGTAAAAGGTCAAACAACGTACATTTGACCCCCTCACCCCCGCCCGTTTGCCTGTTGCCAGAGAGTCGATCCAGGCTCATAGTGACCCTAAAGGGCAGAGTAGAACTGCCCCATAGGGTTTCCAAAGAGCGGCTGGTGGATTCAAACTGCCAATCTTTTGGTTAGCAACCGAATGCTTAACCACTGCGCCACCAGGCTCCCAAATTCTGGGCCTTCTCATTTCTAGTTAATTTGACCTTTCACACTACCAAAAAATAAAACACAGGCACAGGGCAGGGCACCACACCATTCTCTGCAGAAGGAATCCTTTCCAACTCAAAACCCGTTTGAGGTACTATGCTCCTTTAGCTTACTGAATTTGGGGGCTTCATGCCATTATTTTTCATCTACCGTTTGTCCCCAGCTTCTACTTGTAACTAGAGGCCACTGCCTCCTATTGTATACCCGACAGCTCAATCCTGGGCTGGTTAACAGCTGACAACGACCGGCATCCAGTTAGCCTTAACCTCACTCTTCAGTTAATAGCCGCTTCTGACAAGGATCCAGGCAATCACTTACGTGACTACACTATTTAGTGACTGGTACAGGAATAACCTATCCGGTTTCTGACTGCTATAAGATTGCCATCAGGTGGGTCAGAAGGACAGCAAGGGGTCTGGTTTTGGTATTAGATCGCAGCTGGTTGCTAGAGAACATTGGCACGTCCCAGCAAACAGCAGACTGCAATGACCAGTTGACTGAATCCTCGGTTTGTGCAGTGATGACATTAGCTCTACTTTAGCATCTGTTATGCGCCAGGGGCCTCACCAAGCACTTCACACACATTTCATCTGCATAACAACTCTGCGAGGCAGGTGCTGCTACTAATTTCACCGGGCTAAGAGTGGCTAAGTGACTTGGCTGAGATCACACAGCTAGAAAATTTCAGAGCCAAATTCAAACTCAGGTTCTGACTCCAAAGCCCAGGGTTTTAACAATTACAAAGTCCCTAAACAATTTTCAGTAATTAATCATTTGTTTCCACTCTGAATCTAACTATTAATTGGACTTCAGACAGTGATTCTTTCCTTTCCACCAATACCAAGCGAGGTATCGTGAGATCAGAGCCAGTGAGTGTTAGGGGCTGTCGGGTCTGCCCTCGACTCACGGAGACCCCACGTGTGAAAGAGCAGAACTGCTCCATAGGGTTTTCCTGGCTGTCATTTTTACAGATGCAGACTGACAGGCCTTTCTTCAAGTGTAAGTGATGGGAAAAAGTCAAGAAAGGGTAAAGTTAAAAGGATCCTCTTAAAGTTAAAAGGACTGGGGAGCTTGGCACTGATTTGAAAACCAGCCACATCACTAAGCCCTTGGAGAGTACAACAGCGAGAGCACAGTCACGGGAGGCTCATAAGTTGTCAGAGCCGTGAGAAATATACAGACACTCTCATGTCTGTTGCTTATGGTCCAAGTACGTTATGGTGTTAGGGTTGCTATTTTTAGGATTTTAAAACATTTCTTTAAATAAAGTGATTTGCAACATTCTTATGAATAATCACTCTATCTAGCAGAATCTAAATCTCAGTAAAGGCAGGCAATGTGAAAACAGGATTTACTTAACAGAAACCTTCATAAAAACAGCTACAGTTCATTCATTGAGGGAGTATCAGAAAACGATAACATGGTAGCCACATCTTACAGAACACATTTAAAAACGCTTACAAAAAAAAAAAAAACTCCAGAAAATGTTTCCTATTCATTATAGCAATTAGATACTCCATTTTTTTGGAAGAGTATTCTATTCTCCCAACTTAAATATTAGCTTCAAAATAAAAACAAACAAAACAACTTCCCAAAGCACAAAATCTTATCAACGAACTCCAAACCAAATACAAATAAGCAAACACTAAGAATCCTCCCTCCAAGAGTCTGCTGCTTTTCTGATCATAACTAGACTTTAGGTCAAGGGGGAAGAGGGAGATCAAAAGAATCCACAGGTTAGGGATCAAGAAAGTAAAATTTTTTCTCTGTATGTCCCTAAATCATGGGAAAGATGGGAACAACAGGTGACTGATCCACTTTTGGAGGGAAAAAAAAAGATTTTCCAAAAAATCTTATACCTTCTTGCACATCTGGGGACACCCCCCCCGTTACGTGAAGCTCTTTGGTGTGAACACTCAGATCAGCTTCATGACTTTTTGAAAATCTTGGAAAATCATTTAGAGGCCAAAATGAAACACTTTCAAGCCTTTCTGGTTGAGAATAACCTAAGCTCCATTTTCCAGAACAGGGCAGAGAACACTTGGGAAGAAGACTTTAAAAACAAGACCTGGGGATTTCAGACACCTCAAATACCATGGTTTATCTGTTTAGTTTGAAAGCTAAGGACTTTATTAACTAGTTCTAAAATATTACTAAATAATTACCCTTTATTTCAGAATTGACTATTTTAGCGATTATACATATAATCTGATATAACTCCCTAGAGATCAAAGATGCTGTGGAAAATCTAGTATGCTCTTTTTACAGGAATCGGCCACTGTTGTAGGTGTGGCTGCAGCCACTTTAAGCCACAGAAAGACCCGTCTGCCTCTGGGTGCCAGCCACGGCCCTTCCAGGTCACTTTAGAAGGATGAGGGTCGCGCTGGCAGATACACTGGGCTTTTTAAATTCTCAGACACAGGGTCTCAGGACAGGTTAAACATTTAGTGAAATTATCTGACAAAATGTTTTAGTCATGAAGTAATCATTTCATATTATTATGATAAAGTCAGATCATTTCCTTAAACTGAGAGGGATCTACTTGAGAGAAAGGCCATTTAAGCTGCTGTGTTAAACAGTCACATTTCAGAAGGAATAATTTTAACTACTGATTTAGCATTTAAGTGGTTAGTTCAATATTGTAATATCTGAAAATAAACAAACCTGAAGCATTTGATTAAATCCTGTGATTCCCAATTTAAAATCAAGAAGACAAATCTCATTCTCGTCACTGACTAGTAAAACTTTTAAAATGTGAAATATATTTTATAAAAGGTCGCCTCATAAATAAAGCAACCAACCTTAGTGAAAACACTCGAGGGCTCAAGTTTTAGGAAAAAAGCAGTCCGTTTCTTAGTCAAAGGGATTCCCTCTACACGGGATTACGAAAAATACCGTTTTTCTTTATTGGAAGAATACACCTAAAGCTACTATGAAACAAAACTAAACAGAAAGGTGAGCTACCCGCTGAAACTGATCCAATTCTAACGTCCCCACGTCTCGGGATGCATGCTGTCTAAACACCTGACTGCTGCGTTTTCATGGTCTTCCAGTCGGAAGGGAGAGAAGAATTACTGGGAGGCCCGCCAGAGGCCCCAGAGCGTCTGTGGGAAGGCAGGGCGTTTCTGCGCAGCTCTACAGCTCAGCAACGCCTCCTGGCAAAGCGGACTGGGGCAGGAGGAAAGAGAGGAGACAGGCGGGCAGGGGGGCCGTGGGCAGGGCAGTGTTGGGATAAGGAGAGTGATGGAGAAAGGATGATAGAAGTGAAGCAGGCAGACTGGGAAATCATAGAACAGCTCTAGCAGACCTTTTGAGCATTCCACAGACCACGTCTATTTTGTAAAAACTTACTAGCTACATGCTTGCTATTCCATTTGTGAATAAAGAAAACTGCATCTAATAGTTACTAATGTTCTATGTTTAGTTTCACGGGAGGATTTAGAAAACATGCACTTTGAGGTTTTGCATGTTACATTCTTTTATCCCTTTCTTATTTTTGTTTTTTAAAATATGAGAAATGTTCTTTCAAGTCATCGATCAATTTCTAAAACATGATGGCATTCCTTATCTTAAGTTACCCCAGTGAGGGGCAAAAGGTATGCCACGATTATTACTGGGTCACTTCCCCGGGTGGAATCGAACATCCTTACATAAAGGAAGTGTTTCCCAGTTTACTGGTGGTACTGAACAACTAAATTAGCATTATTTTAAAGTCTCACTGATTTTCTCCTTTACTGATTTCAAGGAGGGAGGGCATTCATGCAGACACTGTCTGTCTGTTGGCCATATTTAAAAGTTACCACAAATCCAAGTAGTGTAAGTGAAGATATAGTTCAGAGGCTGACTCTGAAGAAGAGCAGGCAGCCTCTGAGAAGTCCATGCTGCTTCTGTCACTGTGATCCCGAGTCACAGTCACAACACACTGACCACCACACTACAGACACTGAAGTGTGGGCACTGGAGAGAGAGCGCTAACAAATAACTACACCGTGGAATGCCAAAAAGAGAGCAGCAGCAGCCATTCCGAATCAGCAGAATCTTGCTGGACAGAGGACACATGAGGACAGAGATTTTATGAGAAACCCTGACAAGGTAATTGCTCAAATACGTGTCATGAGAGGTAAGTATACAGTCACAGTCATTTTTTAAAAATCTATTACTAGGTTGTTTGGTAATCAGTTATCTATAAGAGAAACAGACAAACCCAAAAGTTCTCACAGAATTCTGTGAGGCTTTTTTGGCAGAGAGGGGGACAATGCATTTGCAAGGAAATTCGATTTTTCTATGTGTAAGACATCTTTAATATATAAAGTAACTCTAGTTTATAACACTCTCCCCACTGAACATCCAAGTTAAACCCGCTGACTCATGTCAAACACGCCTCTCCCTGGCAATTACTCTGGTCATCTGTATCCATGTTACTTAGAAAAAGCAATTGAGTCTACTGCTTTAAGGAAAAAAGGACATCCAAACTCTCCAAACCGCAGTAAAAAGAAATAGATATAGACAAAATATTAAGAATAAAACCAGGATGGCTCAGACCTGGTGTCTTCCCAAATCAGACAGGTCCATTGGCCTCACTCCCCTCTGCGGCCCCACTGTCCACACCCTACCTCGGGGCTCATCACGTGTTATGGCTGATAAGGAGAAGTTTCACGAGGAAACAATACTTAGCAGAATCAAGTAAACAAAACAAACTTGAAATAAGAAGTAAATCTTCTGGAAGAGGCATTGCAAATTTTTAGCAATGTTGGTGTATTTTAAACACACTCGGATGCTGAAAATCCAATGCTAAGTATGACTTTTAGATTAGGAAAAATTATATCCCATCTTTAAAAAATCAGTGTTCTGTGGTGCACCTCTTTAAAAAAGACTGCCCTATGCAACTTAACAAACGTGTAAGTGTGCACACGTCGCTGTTCCTTGTGCCCTGCCTGCTGATACCCTCCCACTCACTGAGCCGGCTTCAGTGGACAGGAAACGCACCATAGCCCCCTGCCTGGATGGGCGTTTTTGGAGAAGCACAAGCATACAGACTAAAATCCTCTGTCTGGAAGCCGGCCCGATTCAAGGAGGGTTCGGATGCACTGCGGTGAATTTTTGGCAATGAGCGGGCCAGCAGCTCAATGGAGGCGAGAATCTAAAACAAAGAACAAAGAAGAGTGAAAATCTGGGTGATGTAGACCTTTAAGAGCACCAAGACATGGTACAAGAAAGCACCTGACATCATACATTGTCTTCAGTATTATCCTAAATGCCTGGGAAGTATCTGAATAAAAATTATATTTCTCCTTAAAAAAAAAACAAAACTATCAGAGCATTATATCTTTCATCCTTGTGAACTGACTGGGAGAAGTAACCCGTAGTTAGCTTTTGTTGACATTTTACAGCATTTGCCAGCTGTGGAACAGCATGTAACAACATTTAAGCCCAATTCTATACCCATCGGTCATAGACGGCAAGTCCCTTCTGGACAAAGATGTCTGTCAGTGAAGGCTCTAGGGCTATCCCTGAATGGAGCCATCAGGGCTGCACATTCTTTAAAGGAACTCAGCGAAGGGGGGACAAGGTCTGACTGAGAGCAGGGCCCGCCCACCCAGATGGTGAACAGTAAGGAGTAAGAGGGACAGTGGGCAGCCCAGGAGAGCAAGAGAAGACAGACACCAGAACACAAAAGTGGAGGGAGGCTCAGGGGATGTTGAGGTACAAAGAAACAGTCGCTACCCTCGAGGGCCTGTGCCTGAGACACACGTTCACAGCCATGAGAAAGGCATTCTTCTCACTGATTTGTGCTTTGGAAAATAAAATTATTTTCATAAAAATATTTTTAAACATGTGATGGGTTTATTTTTATGTTTATACAGAGTCATAAATAAATATATTTAAAGCTTCTCAATTTTAATTTCTAATATGGTAATTCATAAAAGCTCCTTGGGGTCTTCAGTATTTTTTAAGAGTGTAAGAGGGGTCTGAGACCAAAAAAGTTTGAGCACTGCAGGACAGAAGCAAAGCCTTTCTGAGTAGTTTGTATCAGGACCCCAACTTCCAGCTGCCGCTGCTTCACCTCTATGAGTTTACTCATCTGGTGTCTGCACGTGGAAGCCAACCCTCGAAATACAAACTGCGCTCGCAAAGGTACTTAAAACTGTGTGCAACTGTTCCCAGGCTTCACATAAAGCCCTTTCTTACTTGGGGAAAGAGTGGTCTCTCGTCTCGTTTCTTCTTCAGGCACTCTGCCATTAATCTCTTCATGGCTTTTGGACAGTTACTCCGTACCTTACTGAGATCTGGAGACAGGTATCCTCGTCCCACCATAAAAATTATCTGAGAAGGAAAAAAAAAGGCAAATGATGCAACCTTGAGGAAGCTAGAAAATACGCAGACACTAACAACAGGACAGCCTGGGCCCTGGTAATGCGCGTCTTCTCTACACACCCACGATGCTCACAAACAGTGGAAGACACCGGCTGGCCCTTCCAGGCTTGGAAGTCACGGACTGGGGACCATGCTTAGTGGGCTGTCTTCCTGGCCCCGGACCCCCACGAGGCTCTCCAGTTCCCCATCCAGCCCATTTCCCACTGGCAGGGCAGCTGTCCTAACACACAGACCCTTTGGTGCCACTTCTCAAAACAATAAATGTACGGAACACTGCTGGTGGGCACTGTGCAGAGCCCTTTCTCTATATATGCGTAGTGGGAACCACAAACGCTATTCTTTTTCAGCAGTTACTGTGGCACCTGCATTTCAAGCTCTTTTGCTCTAGAAATGCCAATGGAGCATTTGGTAATACAAATCTGAGCACCAGATCTCTTTCAGAGGAGAGAAGGAAGTCATTAGGAGCTAAAATCTCAGCTGAAATCTGTCCACCATGGGTGACCCTGCTGGTATTCGAAATACTGGTGGCATTCCTTCCAGCTTCACAGCAAAACCTAAGCGACCACAGTACGACACACTGACGGATGGGTACTGGGCTAACAGATTAGCCATGTCATACACCTGCAGTCTGCAAAGCAGGGTGAAGTATCCCTGGCGTTACGTGAAGATGCTCCAAGAGGTATAAGATGTATACAGACATGGTAGTTTTCAGGGAATTAATTTCCAGATTATTAACTTCCTTATAGTCTCCTTTCCAAAAACTGACCTGCCTGAGAACCACTCCAGTGATAAGGTAAAGCTTATCCCCTTCCCCACCTCCCTGCCTGCCCAAGGGCCCTTCTCCCACTTTATAAAAGGTACACCTTTTACCCATATGGAATCTAAATAGAGTTCACACTGCCCGGGGTGGAAGGCCACTGGGGCACCACAGGGTGGTTCCAAAATACTGGCATCTAACTGGGCTCCAATGAATGGATAACAAATTCCTTTGCAAGCCAGGTGGTTTCCAATTCTTTGCTTTCAATAAAATTAACTGAATTGTCAGCTGATTGATCACTAAAATAATTTTTAATAACAAGCTACTATGTGATTTTTGGTATGCTGTAAGAATGAGTTAAAATACTTGAGTGACCTGGGATACATAAAAAATTAACCTCGCCCAAAGAGGTGTGGCCTTTGCCCCTGGGTGCTGGGAGATGACTGTTGAAGTGGTTGGAGTGTACTGCCTGCTAAGAGTGTCTCCGTTTATCTGGGGGCCTTGGGGCCCCCAGATAGTCTAATGGAAGAATGTGATTTATAGTGGGGGGGTTGGGTCACTCATATCCCCTCCGGAGAGCTGGGAACTAAGGTCAGCCATGCGCTTGGTCAACCACGTCTATATAGCAAAGTCCAATAAAAACGTGAAGAATTTATCACCTTCTAAGGTGCATGGGTGGCCCAAACGGTTAAGCACTCGACTACTAGCCAAAAGGTTGGCGATTCAAACCCTTCCAGAGGCACCTCTGAAGACAAGACCTGGCGATCAGCTTCTGGAAGCTCACAGCCTTGACAACTCTATGGAGCAGTTCTACTTTGCATACACGGAGTCATCATGAGCGGGAAGTGACTCAACAGCAACTGACAACAACATATGAATTAATTCAAGGTTAAAGAAAAGCCCCATAGTGTTCACTAAGATGCGTATTTCAAAAAAACGCTGCCTTCTGTTTCCATATAGATTGAAACTTTTATTGTTGTCAGTTATAGATAATAATTGTAACTACAACATCACTGAGAATTTAAAAAATTAACAAGCAGAGCCTAAAGTCCAAGGACAATGTTACGTAGGGGCCATATGGTGATTTCATAAGTATATACGAAGTACATGATGACTCAAATGACTTCTCTAATATCACACAGTGCTGAAGGTCTCAGTGAGAAACCCACTCACAGCCGTCACCAAAAACACTGAGTTGAGCCATTGACCACAGTCAACACCACACACACACACACCCCTTAAGAAGCTGCACAGTTATACACATAAACAATAATTTCATTAGGGTGAGAGGTTATGATGAAACACATGAAAAGTTCACACTTTTTTTTTTTTTAATTCTTTAGAATTGTGACATATCTCAGAATCGCCTGGGAAATGGATTAAAAATGCAGGTGCCTGAGCCGCACCCCTGGATCCAGAACCTGTGCCAGCATCAACAGGTGATTCTGACACCCACTGCAGTATAAAATCTAGATTTTTCTTTGCTCACAGCTTATGAGTCAATGACTGTTTTCTATTATGTTGGCAGCAGAATTACTGCTTTTTTTCTTTTTTCTTAATGTTGAGGTATACAATCCATTTCAGGAAAGACAACTTATTGTAAAGACAATTCACTTTTCCTGGCCAGTTTTATAAGCCTAAGCGAATATAACGCGGTTGGACTGAAAAGGCAGAGAGCTGCATGAGGTTTTTGGAAGCTAAGGGACAGAAACAGGAACTTAGGAAAAAGAGAAGTAAAAAATTATCCTCCTACTAGATTTCTCATTATAGAAAAATTAAGGCATGATATGACATTCCTTCCATTTATCTAGCTAAAAAGGAAGAGAAAGCCATCTGGGGCAGCCCTGGGAGCTCTGCAAGGGTCTGCTTTGAGGAGTGCTCAGCAGGCAGCACCGTTACAGGCATCAGGCACAAAGCCCGACGCTGCAGTGCGGTGTCCCCTCCTCACTGCTCTCTGGTCAAGACGCCACAGGCACCTCCAGTGTGCTATCTCTAGTTTCTCATCAAAAAATCGGGACTTTTACCCCATTTGTTACACTTGATAAGATCACTATTTCAAGGAAAGAAAGGTTTTTTTACATGCTGTTTTTATTGCCAAAAGTGTATAAAAGAATTCTAAAACTGGTCACAAAGATCAAGAGATCTATCCTCATGCTGACCCAGGACTCGGCACTTCTTTTCTACAAATAACTGGAGACTTCATACAAATAGTAAAATAAACTCCAAGAGATGGTCAATATTTACCTGGTCTCTGTTGTTGATGTTTGAATAAGGTAACTGTCCAGTCATTAATTCATACAGAACAATCCCAAATGCATACACATCTGACTGAAAGCTATAGGGGTTTTTATCTTGCATTCTGATTACTTCTGGTGCCTGTTAGAACATAAAAAGAAAGATATTCTAGTTTATTCTTCACTTCAGCTGAATAAAGACTGAAAATCCAACAATTATACTTCCAAAAGCAACATTTTTATCATTGAATAACCCATCTGGTACGTAATCAATTCTCTTATTAATGGTAAAAAATAAAACTGATATTAAGAAAAATTGAGGAAAAAGAAGCCCTGTTCTGCCAACTCTAAATAAGGCAGTGTTAGCTGAGACTCCATGATGCATCACTAAGATTTTACAACTTTGTCAGCCATCCTCTTCCAGCACAAAATGCCTCACTGCCACTTGAACTCTTCCCATGACTTACTCTACCAAGAACCAGTTCTCACTTTCCATTCCTGATTCCGCAAGGCAAGACTAGGTGTGTGCTGAGGAAGTTCTCGGGAGCAGCCCAGCTATGGCAGTAGCTGCCTTAGAATTTAAGTCTTTCTGTTGGCCCAAGGATTCTCCTTATCCTGGGCACGTGACATTATAGGGGTGAATTTCAAGAATGATAAACTCAAGTGCCCTTCCTGCCTCCCACAGTGGTAGACACATGCCAGGGGTGCCTGTGAGCAGAAGCAGCAGGCAGATGTGGTAGAAGACGGTACTGCTGCTTCTCGGGCAAAGATACAGACCACATCATATCTGCTGTATTTTTACACACTTCAGATTAGATTTCTTATTGGCTGTTAACTAAAATACAATAAACGGCTGGTTAAATATTATCTTGAAGGATTTCCTCTTTCACCTTGCATCTTCTGTACTGTCTCATTTGGAAGGAACCAGAGAAATTGTAGGAGATTAATAAAAACATCAATCTGCTACCCAAACCAGGACTAAGTCTGCAGAAAAAGGCTGAAAGACCAAGGCCAATATCCCTGGGTACTGCCCATGATGGATTCCACTTCAGCGGGGACCAGAACCACCTGCCACCACTCTTAGTGCTGACCCTGACCACATCCTGGATCCACGGTGTCACATCAGCACCTCGGGGGTGGGGCCCAGGCACTGCTAGTCCTTAAAAGCTTTCCAGATGATTCCACCGTACAACCATGGCTGAGGACCAGGACAGAGGCCAGGGGAGGCCCTGAGGAGAGAATTGTACCTATATGCTCTTATCCTACACATTTTGTTGATAGTTGTTTTTAGTACTTCCTTTAATATAATCAGATGAAAAACTGTACAAAATGAGCCACATACAACTGTCATGACTGAACAAGCCAGAAGACTGAGAGACTGCCATAATGCAGACGTAATTTTCAAAGCCTGAACACAACTTGCATAAGGGACACAGTGAAAAATCCATCGAAAAAAAGGTTTTTTAAAGAAATAATTCTCCTTTAAGAACTGTCTTTTTAAAATTTGGTTTTACCTCACTGTTTCTGGAAGGGGGCTTAAGGAGAGGTGGTGTGCCATCTATTCAACAAGAAATGTTATGATTTATCCGCAATTAATTTAGAGATTTACGTTGTAAAACTTTCCACAAATTCTTTTTCTCCTCTAAGACATAAATGAAATGACATAGAGGAGACCACTGTAAATAACTCAGAGGACCACATAACCTTAGTTCTGACCAAACTCTTCCTGGTCTGTGGCTACTCCATATTTGTTTCTGCAGGCACTACGGACCCAGAAGGATTTATTCAGCAATAAAGTGCACCACTGGCTATTCTCTTGTTTTAAAACTCAGCATGGTGGAGTAAAGGATGAACCCACCTACCCAGGTATCAACAAAAAAGAAAACAGAAAACTTGATAGCTAACTCTATCAGTGAAGGTTTCTGAAAAAGGAAGGGCAAACCTGGAGACTTGACTGAGCCTGACTTTCCCACACGGTCAAAATAAACATGGCTTTAAAATATGACCATGGTTTTCTTCATCATCTCAGCTCTTACAATTTCAGCACTTAAAATCTGCTTTCCTTCCTTTCTTAGGGCACACTGCCATCTTTCTGACAGGGTGTGGCCTTACAGGAGCCTGAGATCCAGATTATAATGGTTAATTAGTCTCCCCTTACTTATAACTGTTATTAAAACAATTAAACATACATTAAAGAATTTAAAAACTATCTAGCTAGCTCCACTTCCTGACTCTCAGAAATAGAAGGGGCTAGAAATTCACTAGTCCAACCCACCATGGCACAGATGAAGAGCTAGAAGAGGTCAAGAAACTTGGAAGTAAGTGGCCAAACAGCGCACGAACACACACATCTCCTGACTCTAAGTCCAATGTCCCCCTCTGGCCCTGCCACTGACCTAGTTCAATCCATTGTGACAAGTAAACACAGCTTAACTGAACCCTGGGGTTATCCTGACTACCTCTGAATCCCACCTGGGGATCCCCTTCCAGGGACTCCACACACAGCTCAGGGAATGCAGGCAAACGTGGCTTCCAAAGCCCCTGTGGCTCTTCTGCTTCCAGCAGAGTGCCCCCGAAGTCTTCATGCAGATGAAGTTACTTAAAGCTTGAAATTGCACGAAGACTTGGGGGACACCCTGCATTCAGTTTAGAGCAACAGTTCTCAAACTTTCTGGTCTCAGGAATCTCTTCCACTTTTAAAAATTATCCAGGATCCCAAAGAGCTTTTGTTTAGGTGAGTTATATCTGTGGACATTTATCATATTTAAACTTAATTGAGAACTTGTTAAAATATTAATACATTTATATAAAAAATAAACTAATAATATGCCATTACAAGTTAACACAGATCACCTTTTTTTTTTTTTTTTTTAATAAAAAATAACTATATTTTCAAAAACAAAACAAAAAGGTTAGTGGGAAGAACAGTACTGCAGTTCTCCGTGCCTGGCTCAGCAGCAGCCAGCTGGGCCCCTCTCTGCTTCTGGGCTCCATCTGCTGTCGTGTTGTTCTGGTTGAAGATTGTGAAGACGCTCTGGCCTCACACAGTGAGGACCCCGAGGGACCTCTGAAAGGGCCTGAGGTCCCTAGAGGTCCTGGAGCCACACGGTGAGAACCCCTGGCCCAGGGCACGGCTCCTCTAGCACTGCCCTCTCACAGGCTGGTCATGTAACTCCACACAGGGCCTGGCTCTCTTCTTCCAGAACATCTTTTTCTTCTTTCCACCAAGCAGACATCAGAGTAAAGAGCTATGCAGGCAGGGCTGCACAAGGCCGGCAGCGTGAAAAATCTACCTCTCAGTTTTTTGGTCTTTCCTCTCCTAGCTGCTCCATAATTGTAAGGATCTTTCTAGTCTGAAGAAAGTAACTTTCCAATTTAGGCTGAAATCAGACTGTGAAACAGCCTCTCAAGAGGAATCATTCTTGTGGCAAAACCTTATGACTGGCTGCAGGGAACACCTCCCGCGTGACCGGCTGCAGGGAACACCTCCCGCGTGACCGGCTGCAGGGAACACCTCCCGCCCGACCGGCTGCAGGGAACACCTCCCGTAAAGGCATACCTGGTTTTTAAACAGGGTACACAGAACATTTTGAACACAAAATATTTTAAACAGAAAATTCTGAACAAAATTTAAAGTGTTTATAAATTTTTTTTTTTGCTGAAAATAGATTTAAATTGGTTTCATAATACTCTTTTTAAAGATAAGAGAAAAAAACTACAATCTATTTACATGAAAGACCAGATCCACACTGGTACGCTGTAGCTGGAACCTTGCATGATTTTCTAGTAACTCAGCAGTATCTCAGCATCCAAAGTTTAGTTAATGGAGAAAGAGCCTCAATTCTTACCATCCACAAAATGGATCCAGACAACTGTTCAAACTGATGGGACCCACTCCATCGAGATTTCACTGTCGCTAGACCAAAATCACCTATTTTTACTGTGAGGTCTTCATGAAGAAATATATCTGAGGTGCAGTAAGTAAAGGAAAACAATAGATTTCATTTTCCCAACAGAGCAAGCATTATGAAAATCTCAGGTAAGACATCTAACTTCTGTAATTTTGAAATATGATAGCCTTTAAAAAGTCTAGTGGTTTGCATTTCTTCTTAAAGGTAATAAATGTTTTAAAAATAATTAGTTCTATTTAGTCGACACGACCTGCTTGTAAGAATTTCAGGGCTTGAAGAGAGGCTGTCCCAAGTCTGTGGAGGTGCTGGCCCATTCCCATTAGATTTGAGGAATGTAGGCCCAAGTGCCTCTTAACCCTACTGGGGAGGAAGGCCGCAGGGCTCTCCACTGGGAAGCAGACATTGGCAGAAAGGACTTTCATCTGGGCTTAGGGAAGAAGATGACACATTCTGTTTTTCTCACCTCGTGTTATATGATTTAGAGCCTCTGTTACATCTCAACTATCTCTGAGCAAGGTCGGAGGGCCCAGAGCTGGAAACGAGTAGATAGCTACAAAACTACCAGGTTTACAGTGCTGACAGAAAAATGAGCAATCATAAAGACTGTGGCCAATTTTCTTGCAGTGCTCAGATGGTTCAGAAACCAAAGCAGGTTTTAGCAGCCTGCTCTGCTAACTCTCATGCAAACCCATTTACTCCTTCTCTTTATAGTGTATCGAATCAGCATGAAGACTGCTTCTACAGAGTGTGAAGACAAAGCCAGGCTGTTTTCCAACTTCGCAGACAAATCTCAGGAAGGATACTATTACTCTTGAGGTCTCTGTGGATGATGGACTTGGCGTGTAAGTAACTGAAAAACAAAACATGATTTCACCTGAGTAGGGCTAAAGGACTCTGGCCCCAAAAGCTGTAGGACATATTGAGGGGGTATAAAGACTTATTTAGAACCATGACACAGTCACAAACTGTAGAAAAGCAGTTACACTGTGATCACCCCTGTACATAATATTAAAATAGACTATTCATGAATCTGTGATTATAGGAACATACCACTATCACTGTACAGCCCAAATCTTGATTTCGCTTAAGAGACTTTGCTTTATCTTTTACTATTTACCAATACAAACCTTTCTCTCCATTCAAGCCTATGTTTTCGTGTCCTTTAACTACACCTTGACATTTAATCCCGCTTCTGTGTTCGATGCTCCCCCCGCCCCGCCCCAAGTCAGCTTCTGTCCTAGTCTCCGCCTCCACCTGGTCTTCACACCCATCGTTTAAGGCCGCACACACATTCTAACTCCTGGATGCAGCCTTCCCATGACTAACAACTGAAAGTGATCTTTCACTGTTCAACTATCATGGAGTAATTATTTTAACAACAGTTCGAGTCATCCATTTTCACGTGCCTACGTTCACCTCAAATTGTGAGGATGGCACAGGACCTGGCAGCATTTCATTCTGTTGTACACAGGGCTGTGATGAGTTGGAACTGATTAAACCGCATCTAACAACAAGTTCACTTTCTACTTAGAATGTAAACTCCACCGGAATAGGAAAGCTTTATTGATAAATTAAAACCATTTTTAAAGATAGTGTCATATATTCTTTTTCTTTTATTATTTTACTTTTTTAAAATTTTTTATTGTATTTCAGGGGAAGGCTTACAGAACAAATAATTTCTCATGAAACAGAAGTACACATTGTTTTATAACATTGGTTAATAACCCCACAACATATCAACCCTCTAACTTCTCAACCTCTTTTTTTTTTGGTGAAAATACACATAGCCAAAGATACACCATTTCAAAAATATCTACATGCACAGTTCAGTGACATTGACTACGCTCTTCGAATTGTGCTGTTATTCTCACTTAAGATGAAGGCTTACAGAACAAAATAGCTTCTCATTTAACAATTACTACACACGTTGCCCTATGACAATGGTTAACAATCTCACAACACATCAACAATATCCTTACTCAACCTTGGGTTCCCTATCACCAGCTTCCTTGTCCCCTTCTGCTTTCTGGCCCTTGTCACTGGACTCCTGTACCTCGTTAGTCTCATTTGGTTTTATGGGGCTGTCCACTCCCAGGCTGAACAGTGAACCTTGGAGGTAACTTCACCACTGAGCTAATAGGGTGTCTGGGGGGCCATACTCTCGGGGTTTCTCCAGACTCCTTTAGGCCAGTAAATCTCGTCTTTTTTTTTTGTGAGTTAGAATTATGCTCTACATCCTTCTCCAGCTCTGTCCAGAACCCTCTGTTGTGATCCTGGTCAGATAGTGTCATATATTCTTAAAACACCTTTTTAAAACTGCCTCTAGAATGGCCACACTGGGTCAGTTTTAGCATCAGTGATAAACTGAAATTACCCATCTTATCCCTACAAACTGCTGTAGTTGAGCTGACTGAGGGAAAAAGCTACGTCTAGCTAATTTCTGTTTATCCCCAGTGCCTAGCACAGTGCCTGGCATGTAGTAAGTATTCAATACATATCTGCTGAAGCAACTACAATGAGATGCATATAATGTTCTAGTCAAGTTTATCTTTCTTCATTTAATATTGGAGAAAACAGGTAGTAGATTGAACAGGATAGACATATGATTACTGAGCTAGTGATGTAACCACAGAGGAAGCTGGAGAGCATAAGTCTATGACAGGCCAAAGCTGCGTACAGCTGCCACCTGAAATAATAACAACCCCCTTACACCTGTGTACATGTTACAGTTTATAAACTGTTTTCTTAATTTTTATCTCACTTAATTCTCCTTCTGTAACATGTCTGAAATAAAAGCATCAAAAGAGTAGAAATCCAGTTCTGTATAATGGAAGGTTGGAAGGAAAATAGACCCGATTCCCCTCGTTGGAAAAATGGGATGAGTATCATACCCCAATCCCTACATAATTGTTTCAAAGTAAATTACTACTCTATATAATTCTATACGGGCTGGCACTAAAGTAGAATTTCTTAAGCACCAACCAGTTATAGTGGAAGATGCCCAGAATCACATAATAACTGGTTGGGGAAGGGAAGAGAACAAGAATAAATCAGCTTCATTTTGCTACAGATGACACAGAAGTCTGTCCACTATTTTGGACCAGTTAGAGCGAACCTCCTTCTGCCTTTTTAAAATGTAAAGGAGAGCTTTACCAGTCTACAAAAGTACTAAAAAAAAAACACCAGCCCATTGCCATCAAGTCGATTCCAACTCATAGCAACCCTATAGGGCAGAGCAGAACTGCCCCACAGGGTTTCCAAGGAGTGGGTGGTAGATTCGAACTGCTGATCTTGTGGTTAGCAGCTGAGCTCTTTAACAACTTTGCCACCAAGGCTCCACAAAAGTACCAGGCAAGAATAAACACGGTATGAACTAAAGGAACATCACACGCACCTGACAGGTTTCTCTCAGAAGTCTCCTTCCTGGAAGAAAGAGTCCACCTGATGAATCACTTAATCCTACAGCGGGGAAATCACCTAGCGAAATTTGATCCCTATGTCTTTCGAGGTCTTATCCAACACTCTTTGCTGAGTGTAATATGATGCCCGAAGTGAATATAATGGTCTAAATCTGACTGACCAACACAAACCAGAGTGAGTCTCATCTTCATCTCCCTGGTGGGCATAAAAAATGTATTAAATCAGCCATTGCTGTGATTACCGCGGCAGCCATAGTCACTCCACTGCCTCCTGCTCATATTCAGTTACAACCTAGAGGGTGATCTTCCTGCACTGCTACTGTTCCACGTCTCCCCGCCGTACACGCCCTGTGCATGGAGTCGCCAGGATTCGGTGCCAACAACACTTTCACGTACTTTTTTGGGACATGGAAAGGATTTTTACTTCTCCCTATTAATTTCTGTTTTGTAGACACGGCCTATAATTTCAGCTTATAAAAATTTTAGTTTTTATTTTAAAAAATCCCAGCTCTATCTGTAAGCGTGCTAGTCACACTCAAGAGCGGAAGGAGGGCGGCTCGATAGCTTCAGGTGTGATCCTCCGGCCGGTGAGGAACCTGCTTCCATCCCGTCATTCAGTCGTCTGTCCCGCTCACCCTCAGGAGCGCGACGAGACCGTTCAGATGCCTGTGAATTCAAGCGCTATGGTCGCACCGCCTGACGGACCCGTCTGTCTCACTTGCGTTTGTTGCTACTTTCTTTTCCACTAGTCCGGAAACCACAGAACTGGTCCGCTTAGACGTTTACGTCTCAGCCTCTTTCCCTAATCCTCCACAGCTCCACAGAAGTTCATGGACTTGAGGCAGCTAGATGGACCTCTCCTCAGACACTCGGGCTGCTCTGGAGAAGTTAGCAGCTGACGGGGCTGGTGTGGATGACGGTGGTTACAACATGCTTTTCCACCCAAAGCCAGTTCAATTACAGTCCCCCTTCTTGCTGATGCCCCACGCCCCCTCCCCAGTCACAATGTGGGAAGGGAGAAAGATGGAAGGGGGTGAGAGTCTGCTTCTCTTCTGGGGTTGCTGCTAATCATTTACCACCCTTACAAGTCATTGAGAAACCCAGTGGGTGGAGTTCACATGTTTTCAATTGTGCTCCACAGAGGCCTAAATTCTGTTTTTACTTCAATTTTTCATTTCTTTCACATAAAAAAAATAAATGACTGAGGTGTAATTTACATACAATACAAATGCATCTATTTTTAACATAGTTCAATGAGTTCTGACAAATGCATACACCTGTTTAAGGACCAGCCAGACTCAAGATACAGAATACCCACCACTTCAAAAAGTTCCTTCATACATTTTTTGCAATTAATAACATCCCCAATCTCCAGGCTCAAAACCTCCGATGTTTTTTGTCACTATGCATTTGTTTTGCCTGTTTTAGAATTGCATATAAACAGAATCATACAAAAGGTACTCACTTACGCCTGGCTTCTTTCGCTCAGCATAATGACTCTGAGAGTATGTTGGTGGCGTGTAATATTACACTGTATGGATACCACAACTGGTCCATTCGTTTGTTGGACATTTGGGTTGTTGCCTGGCTTTTGGCAATTATGAGTAACATACTACAAACATTTGTGTACATGTCTTTGTGTACACTTACGTTTCCATTTCTTTGGGGTAAATAGGTAGAATTGCTCATTGCGGAGTGCATGTTTAACTTGGAAAGAAACTGCCAAACTCTTTTCCTAAGTGCTGTCCCATTTTCAAACCCTACAAGCACTGTGTGAGAGTTCCAGCTGCTCCACATCCTTGTCAGTACCTGGTATTGTTGGTCTTTTTGATTACAGTCATTCTACTGGGTGGGCAGTAGTATTTCACTGGGGTTTTAATTTGCCTTTCTCTAATGCCTAATGATGTTGAACATATTTTCATTTCTTATAGCTTGTTTAATAAAGTGTTCCAATCTTTTACCCAGTTTTTCATTGAGTGGCTTGTCAGTTGAGTTGTAAGTTTTTTATATGCTTTGAATATAATTTTTTAAAAATCAGATAAAATGTTTGCAGACTTTTTCTCAAAGCCTGTGGCTTGTCTTTTTATTTTCTTAACAGCTTCTTTGGAAAAGCAGAAGCTTAAGATTTTGGTGAAGTCCGATTTGTTCATTTTTTTCTTTTACGGTCTTTGTTTTTTGTGTCCTAAGCAATCTTTGCCTAATGTTAGGATGCAAAAATTTTCTCCTATGTCTCTCACAGAAGTTTTTGACTTTTAGTTTTTAGTCTTAGGTCTGTGATCCGTTTTGAGTTCATTTTATGGTTTATATGAGGTAAGGGTTAAGGTTTATTTTATTCTATATAGAGAAACTATATTTTTTCCCCATGAATTAATTGCCTTTGTACCTTGGCTGAAAAAAAGCAGCTGACCATATATAAATGGGACAAATGGAT